CTTGTCTAATATTTAGTGTTGTCCACAAATTAAATCCCAGACTCTGTGAGCTCATCCCTCTGACCACAGCCTCACACCAACACGACACAAGAGAGAAATACAAACTAAAAGGGAAAAACAGAAGACTAAAATCTACCAACTTTAGTATCTGCTGCAAGGGCCCTCGTATCTGGCATGAGCTCGACGAGGACATCAAGCAGTCCCTGTCATTAGCCATGTTTAAAAGAAATATCAGACGGTGGCTCTTAGGACGCTACTGTTCTGCCTGACTAAAACGGTAGCCTCTCTTGGGCTCCACTGATCTCCTTGTACTAAGGGAAGGGAAAGCACACATAAACGGTAAATAGAAAACAATAGTGGTGATAACACCTTATAAAATAAAAATAAATTTACAAAACAGTATTAACTATGAATATACCATTGAATTTCATAGAAACAACGATACCATGTATGACACAAACACGATCTCTGAAGGTGGGCGTGGGTGTGTGTGTGTGTGTGTGTGAGCGTGTGTGTATATATGTATTTTTTCATTTCTCTTCTAATTTTCCTATCTCAAATTTAACAAATCTCTGTTTCATGCCATCTGTTTTTGTTTGACTTTGTATTTTTGGACCCCGTACATAAGCTTGTGTAGCTTCCTAGGGTGTCCATTTCTTTTTCCCAGTGTCACAAAATTAGTTACAAACTCAATGTATGAACAAATGTGTGATATTGTGAAGAAGAATAAACTGAAACTGAAACTGAAACTGAGGTGATAGTGTTTTTGATTCCTTGTACTTTGTCATCGAAAAACTGTGCGAACTCATTACACCTAGATTTAGAGGAAAATTCTAGGGGCAACTTTACAGGGGGGTTCGTTAATCTACCAACTGTTGAAAACATAACACGAAAATTGTTACTGCAACCTCCAATAATGTCAAAAAAATACATTTCTCTTGTTCTACGTAGAACCCGGTTAAATTCACCCAACTCATCTTTAAAGATTTCATAATCGCCCTGGAAATTGGACTTTCGCCACTTCCGTTCGGCCCTCCGGCACTCTTGCTTCTGTGCCCTAACCGAGTCTGCCTTAGTCCATGGGGCCTTTTTCTTACTGGTAACTATTTTAACCGTCACAGGAGCAATGGCGTCCAGAACAGTCAGAACACTGGTGGTGACAGAGTTATACAATTCATCAACAGTAGAGCATGGAGTTTTCTCAAAATTTAGCATTCCCATGAACAGTTCACTTGTGTTTTCATGTATGTGTCTTCTTCTAACAGTTGTAAATTCAGCTGGTGGTTTGCTAGCAAAACACATGTCAAAAAATACACAGAAATGATCTGACAAAGCAACATCAACTACATTAACATTTGATACATTAACCCCCTTTGTAATTAGCAGGTCAAGAGTGTGCCCCCTGCTGTGGGTGGGGCCACTCACGTGCTGAATGAAACCAAAGGTCTCAAATACAGAAGCCAGCTCCTTTGCATTTCTGTCATCAACATTATCAACATGTACATTAAAATCACCTGTAATAACTAAACTATCAAAATCTGTGCACACGAATGAAAGTAGTTCAGTAAAATGGTCAATAAAATCGCAACATGACTGTGGTGGCCTGTACAGGACAATGAAAAGAGTAGAAGATTGCTTTTGTTCCATTTTAAAAGAAATATACTCAAACGATGAAAAATTTCCAAGGGGCATTCTATGGGAGACAAAGTGCTCTCTAAAAACTGCAGCTATGCCTCCCCCCCTTTTGTTTTCTCGTATTTCGGATTCGAATTTAAAATTGGGTGGTGTTGCTTCTATTAGAACTGCATTTCCTGTATTTTGGTCGAGCCATGTTTCAGCCATAAGCATAAAATCAAGATCATAAGAAGTAGGGCTGGGCGATATGGCAAAAAAAAAAATCTCCGATTTTTTCACACCAAATCCGATTTTCGATTTTAATCGATTTATTTTTTTCTATTTAAAAACAAACTACAACTGACAAAGAAATAGATTTTCCTTTATGCAGTTTAATCTAAATCCCCATGGAGCATAAGTGTAACAGGAATTAAGCCTTAAAACATGATTGTAAACGAGATGGCTCTGCCATTGTAAACAGTGAAAATGTAGCTTAACAGTTTTATAATAACTTCACTTACAATGACACTATGCACCTTCAAAATAACTTAAATCACACAAACAAGGCCCATCGCAAATATATCAATCCTATTAAACACATGCATTATTTACATGAAATATCACATTTTTAAAACTGATTACTCAAAATAGAAATGTTGTAACAGACAGTATTTTCCAAAAGCCTCCTCGGGTTTTCATGCTTGTTCTTTCAACTGTGCCTGAGTAACTGTGCTGTAGTACAACGCTCGGTCCAGCTGGTGGCGCTAATACTAACTTCAGTGACTCCCGCATTGTGCGAGCTTCCTGTTTACATTCTGATGCTGTAGCTAACAGCTACTGTAGCAGCTACTGTAGCTAACAGACAGCGGGGAACACGTTGTTTGTATCAGAGCAATGAGAGCAATGTGTGAGGCGTGTCTTTCCCCAAAGTGCAGCGGCTCAGTGGGACACGTGTGTGTGCGCGCCACGGACACGGGAGTGCGCTTTGGAATAACGAGCGTGAGAGAGTGTGAAAGATGTGGCGTACGACCGGAGCCTGTGTGTGTGTGTTTTGGCGATTAAATAAAGTCTGATTCTTGAACGTTTGAAGTGTTATTGCAACAGCACCAACTGTGAGAGCGAGCATCAGGCCAGAGGGAGACTGTTAGCATTAGGTTAGCTTCAAAATGACTGCTCAACACCATAGACCCGCGGTTAGCGCGTTAGCGCTGTAGTTCTGCGCTGGAGAAAATAAAAATCGAATTTTTAAAAAAAGAAATCGCCCTAAACGTAAAACTCGAATTAATGATTAAAATCGATTAATCGCCCAGCCCTAATAAGAAGTGATAAAATTATTAATTAAAAATGATTTGTTACATAGAGATCTGACATTAAGCATAGCAAGTTTAAAAATAACGTCAGAGTCGATTAATGTGGTTGATTGATTTCTACAGGGAACAGAAATTAGATTTGCAGAGTTGGACCGTCTAACTGCTGTCCTGTTTTGATTTCGTTTTTTAGAATTTAAAAACATTTTTGAGCTGGTGCGAGGAACACACACAGTCTCAATTGGGCTAAAATGTGAAAACCCTTGTTGTTGTTCTTTAGCTCCCAGAGTCAGAAGGGAGTCAGCACAGTTCAGTGTTTGGACTGGTAATGCACTGCCAGACGGACAGGGAGCAGTGTTTGCACCGTTGTACTCACCCGGTGCTGGTGAGCAGGAGGCGGGGGAGTGCGGTGGGGTCCGAGGGGGCTCAGATGTAAAACAGTCACGCCCCCCTCGGGGAACGCTGAACAACATAACGTATGTAATCCATCAACAGGCTGCTACCGTATCTGTTTGGGTGTAATCCGTCTGGACGATAGGCTTCGTAACGTTTCCAGAAAAGGGCAAAGTTATTCACAAAGACAAAGTTAAAAGAGCTGCATGTAGCCTGAAGCCACACATGCAGCGCCACAACACGACTGTAGAGGCAGTCACCTCTGTTTACAGTCTGGATTGGACCAGAAATAAAAACAGATAGTCCGGAGGATTGAAGGAGGTGGAACAGATCCATAAAATGTTTCTTCGTGACTTCTGACTGCTGAAGTTTCATGTCGTTAATTCCCACATGCACGACTACCTTGGAAACGGTATCAGGCAGGGACTGAAGCAGAGGAGGGAGACGTATGAGCAGGTCTGGTACAGTAGCTCCGGGAATACAGCGAGTGACCGCGTTAAAGAAGCGGACGTGTCTCACGATGGAATCTCCAATAATCAGAGTGGTCGGGGCGAAGAGTGGCCTCGGAGAAGGAGCTCGGTGGACGGAACCAGCGGGTTCACCCGAAGCAGGACCCGAGCCTGAGCGCCGCTGAACACATGGAGAGGAGGAGCGGGGGTGCTGACTCTCAGCTACAGGCGACCCACGCTGTGTGCTCGGGGACGCTGGAGCGGTGAGAGGGGCTGGCTCTGGGCGCTGCTGCTGACCCGGTGGAGGTGAGCGGTGGTGATGATGGCTCGCTACCCCAGTCTGAGGCTGCTGCACTGGGGTCAAAGAAGGGGAACAGGCCAACATGGCTGGTGGACCGCTCTTTCGCCTGAGGACTGCTTCCTTTAGGAGCGTTTTCCTCGCAGTGGACTTGGATCCTCGAGCAGTAGAGTACGCTGCAGTGTCCAGGGATTCTGCTGAGGGGGCCGGGATGTCGGTGGAGAGGGCTGCATAGCGGTTTGCCAGACTCAGGACATGGGCCACGGCGCAGGATGGCTCCTCGGAATCCGCGGGCTCGTTATTCGGAAGCGGGCGCTTAGGTGTAGAACAGGAGGGTCCGGAGCTGACGGATCTCTCCCACACGACAGTGTCACAATATGCAGCGCTCAGTGACATCAGCCGTGAGTGCTGCCCACCAGCGACTTCAAAAAGTTTGGATACTAGAGATTGTTTCTCATTCAACTCTGCGGTGAGACGAAGGACTTCTTTTCGTAGATCTGCAATGGTGGCACGGTCGCTCTCACGGAGCTCCAAGGTGAGGCGACTAATATTGTGCATGTTTGAGCCAATTTCATTGTCACTTTCCATGTCCTCGTTAGCTTGTGTTAGCCTCTGTGCTACTAGTGGGTTTCAGTCGGGACTAAGTGCTATTTGCTGAAACCACTGAATTAAAAAGATAAAACACTCAGATATATTAAAAAACTGAACAATAAAAACGCGCTAAAAAGTTGTTAAAAGTTTACTAAAAAGGTGCACAGAGCCGCCCTGCAGTACTGCTTACTTTGACACACCTGCGTTGATGTCCACAATGTATGTACTTCTCATATTTTTCTTCTGTGTAAATGCATTTATCATGAATTTAGTTTAGAATGGACTAAAACTGGACAAATACACGCTACATGACAAAAATATGGCGAAACTTTGGCGACCATCACATACCCACAGTGAGATCCATGTTGTGTCCTTCTCCCAGTGCACGCAGTCTGTACAAGCAGCCGCTCTGATAGTAGTACTGGAGAAACTGCACAAAGCCTGCACAGGATCATGATACTTCAGCTCAGGAGGATTCTTTTCATCATAATTTGACTTTAAAAACACAGCGGTGAAGGTCTTACTTTGGTACATGCAATATGTGAGGAACTGCTTTCGGAACATCTGGTAGAGGACTCCTTCAGGCCTGGGAAAATTTGTATTAGGATTTTTCAATGACATGAAATGATCTATCTACACATACAGCAACTCATAAGTATTCTTAACACTTAAACATACAATTAGTCGAGACGGTGGAAGGTACATATATATAAGAAAAGCCCTTACCACGTCAGCATGACCCCAGAGAGGACGGTAGAGACGTAGTGATGGAACACCCACCAGCCTTTGATTCTGGACACAGAAACACAATAATAACACAATAATAACATGTATTCACATTTCTACTTCAAAGTGATTTTCATCTTAATAATTGTACATTTATAATTTATGTTTAAACAGATTCTGTTCAAAAGCAAATCTATTTCTAGACATGTTCGTATTACACCGGCAAATTACTTTATTGGTTGTAATGCTCCTGACATAGAAGTAAAATGGTAAATAATATATTCATTATTTCAGTTGAATTCTGAAGGCACATCCATAATCCCACAACAAATCAAATTAGATTTTTTTTTTCTTCCAATTTTAAGGATTTTAAGGCTTTTTATTTGTTTTTACCATTTAGATTTTGTTTTAATGTATTCTATTTTTTATACATAAAAAAATAAAGCTGGCAAACCTTTTCATGTGCTACTTTTATCTCCGTGCAGCACTTTGAGCTTTGGTTTTATAAAATGTGCTATAAATATGAAGTGGATTGGATACTCAAAAACTTAAGGGAGGATTATGGCAATTCTTTTAGAAGCGGGAGCACAATGAACAAGTGATTACATGTTTTGGCTGGATGCAGGAATGTTTAAATCCTTGTGCAATCATTAAGCCAAAAGGATCTAAACGATCCAGGGCTGGTCAAGTTATGGCAGGTCAGCAACAATCAGTGCACAATATCTTTTTATTTAGGGTATTTTCTAATCGCTGTGACTGTGTTAACTTGAGCCAAGGATAGCACACGGGTTACGCCTTAATCTGCTGCTTTGCCTGACAGCTGACAGAAGTGTGTGCACATGGAGTCCACACTGAGAGTAAACAGTGCTGGATCCAGATATTCTTCTGCTCAGTACAGTGCATACATACATGCAGAAATGTCTGTGTCTTCAGAATTTAGTTTGAACCCAGAAGTGACAAGGTGACGAGGCCTCAGCACTCCGGCCGTGATCTCAAGCAAACAGAGAAACAAGCCATGTCTTCATAAACACAGCATGAACAACGCGTGTTTGTAAAAACCTGGAGCCGTTGTTTATGAGTATGCTCTCCCTGATGGTCAGTGTGCAGTAATACCACACCAGCAGGAAGTTAAACATGGCGTCCAGAGCTCTGGGGAAAACAGGAAATAACACTGATTATCCTGACTATGAGCGTTCATAGCAGTAGTCATAGTGGTAGCAGTAGCAGTAGCAGTAGTAGTAGTATTAGCAGGACCATAATATTGATTATCCTGACAATGAGCGTTCATAGCAGTAGTCATAGTGGTAGCAGTAGCAGTAGCAGTAGTATAAGCAGGACCAGTAAAAGTAGTGGTAGCAGTATTGGCAGCAGTTGTGATAGCAGTAATCTTAGGGTGTATTCAGACCTGAAAAGTCCTTTGCTCCGCTTGCTTGATTCGAATCAAAAGCGGACCAAACTTTTTTCTTTTGCTCCGGTTCGTATTCAGACTGTCCTTTTAGCAAGTGAACTTTTTTATATAAACATATCGACACGTGTGACGATCGGCGCTCCTATTGGACAGAAAGAGCTCACGGAGGATAGACACGGAACCGGCAGAAAACATTGAGGGCTCCTATGTGCAGCATGTCTGCTCTGCCTCTGTTTGCTCTTTTTAGAGCAAAACCACCTTCAACATTAACAGCAGCAGCTCATATGACACAGGCGAAACACCTTGTTTTAAATATTGGAACAGCGTCGGAGAATGCGTGAGGAGAAAGCCGAAGGAGACAGTCTGTGCGCTCCGTGTCCTGTCCTGTCCCACACATGGATCTATTATAATAACGGCCCTGTTCAGCATGTGGATAAACCATGGATCTATAATAACCACGGGACAAACAGACGCTAAGGATCAGGTAGGAACCAAAGAACACAATTCACTACATGTTGCGGAATATTGCTCTTTGAGACGTGAGTCAAACACGTCAGGCTTTTAATAATGCAAATGGTTTGAAGATGCTGCCATTAACATCAATATATACTGTGAACAGTTGTAACTCCATAAGCCTGTTGCACAGCATCTCCTCACTGCTCCAGGTCTGCACACGGCTCATTGTTGTTGTGTAGCGTTAGCAGCATAGTTAGCCGCTGCATGGCTAATTCCTCACAGTTTCTGTCTGCGGCTTGTTAAGCCCAAAAAATGCGCACGTATCTTGGAGTTGTGTCGGATCGACACCGGATGTATTCAGACCTGATTCGACTTGGACCAGAATTCGTTTGGAAGCGGACCGAGACCACCTCAAAAAGTGGGTCTCGGTTCGGTTCTTTGGTCCGGACCAGGATTCGTTTGTGTGTATTCAGACCTGCATATAAGGTTCGGATCAGAGTTCCAAACGAATCCTGGTCCGTTTAAAGCGGAGCAAATGTGCAGGTCTGAATACACCCTGTGGTAGTGGTTGTAGTAGCAGTATAATTAGCAGTAGTGGAAGCTGAAATGGTAGCAGTAGTTGTAACAGTAGCGGTAGTAGTAGTAGTAGCAGTAGTATTAGCAGAAGCAGTTAAAGTAGTGGTAGCAGTAGTGGTAGCAGTAGTCGTAGTATTAGCAGGACTAGTAAAAGTAGTGTTCGCAGTAGTATTAGCAGTATTGGCACCAGTTGTGATAGCAGTAGTCTCAGTGCTAGTGGTAGTAGCAGCAGTATAATTAGCACTAGTGGAAACTGAAATGGTAGCTGTAGTAGTAGCAGTAGCAGTAGTATTAGCTGAAGCAGTTAAAGTAGTGGTAGTAGAAGTAGTAGCAGTAGCAGTAGTATTAGCTGAAGCAGTTAAAGTAGTGGTAGTAGAAGTAGTAGTAGTAGCAGTAGTATTAGCTGAAGCAGTTAAAGTAGTGGTAGTAGAAGTAGTAGTAGCAGCAGTAGTATTAGCTGAAGCAGTTAAAGTAGTGGTAGTAGAAGTAGTAGTAGCAGCAGTAGTATTAGCTGAAGCAGTTAAAGTAGTGGTAGTAGAAGTAGTAGTAGCAGCAGTAGTATTAGCTGAAGCAGTTAAAGTAGTGGTTGTAGAAGTAGTAGTAGCAGCAGTAGTATTAGCTGAAGCAGTTAAAGTAGTGGTTGTAGAAGTAGTAGTAGCAGCAGTAGTATTAGCTGAAGCAGTTAAAGTAGTGGTTGTAGAAGTAGTAGTAGCAGCAGTAGTATTAGCTGAAGCAGTTAAAGTAGTGGTGGTAGAAGTAGTAGTAGCAGCAGTAGTATTAGCTGAAGCAGTTAAAGTAGTGGTGGTAGAAGTAGTAGTAGCAGCAGTAGTATTAGCTGAAGCAGTTAAAGTAGTGGTAGTAGAAGTAGTAGTAGCAGCAGTAGTATTAGCTGAAGCAGTTAAAGTAGTGGTGGTAGAAGTAGTAGTAGCAGCAGTAGTATTAGCTGAAGCAGTTAAAGTAGTGGTAGTAGAAGTAGTAGTAGCAGCAGTAGTATTAGCTGAAGCAGTTAAAGTAGTGGTAGTAGAAGTAGTAGTAGCAGCAGTAGTATTAGCTGAAGCAGTTAAAGTAGTGGTAGTAGAAGTAGTAGTAGTAGCAGTAGTATTAGCTGAAGCAGTTAAAGTAGTAGTAGTAGTAGCAGCAGTAGTATTAGCTGAAGCAGTTAAAGTAGTGGTAGTAGAAGTAGTAGTAGTAGCAGTAGTATTAGCTGAAGCAGTTAAAGTAGTGGTAGTAGAAGTAGTAGTAGTAGCAGTAGTATTAGCTGAAGCAGTTAAAGTAGTGGTAGTAGAAGTAGTAGTAGTAGCAGTAGTATTAGCTGAAGCAGTTAAAGTAGTGGTAGTAGAAGTAGTAGTAGCAGCAGTAGTATTAGCTGAAGCAGTTAAAGTAGTAGTAGTAGTAGCAGCAGTAGTATTAGCTGAAGCAGTTAAAGTAGTGGTAGTAGAAGTAGTAGTAGCAGCAGTAGTATTAGCTGAAGCAGTTAAAGTAGTGGTAGTAGAAGTAGTAGTAGCAGCAGTAGTAGTATTAGCTGAAGCAGTTAAAGTAGTGGTAGTAGAAGTAGTAGTAGCAGCAGTAGTAGTATTAGCTGAAGCAGTTAAAGTAGTGGTAGTAGAAGTAGTAGTAGCAGCAGTAGTATTAGCTGAAGCAGTTAAAGTAGTGGTAGCAGTAGTAGTAGAAGTAGCAGTAGAGGCAGCAGATGGTGTGTTGTACCTGTAGCTAAACACAAAGCAGCAGGTGAAGGAGAAGAACAGCAGGATGACTGTGAGGATCAGCTTGAACTTCTCATACTCGTCTTTGTAGGCAAATCTGTGTCAGAGCAGAGCCTCTATTCAATGAAAACACACAACAAAACAACTGTAATAATACACACAACAAAACTAAACAAACATGAAATAATGAATCTTAGTGACTGCTCATAACAACATCCTCACATAAAAACAACACATAGTAAACCCACTACCTAGGTTGTCATGGCGACTATTCATTTATTTACGTCATTTGACCTTTATTTAGACGACTTTAATAAAGCAAACATACAAACTTGATTCTGTTATCTTTTTTGTGATATTAAGTAATCCAAAAGTAATGTTACTTTATTGGAGTACTAACTAGTAGTTGTAAATACATATAGTAAGTAACTTATCAAACACTGTACTGTTTCTGATCATTTTCATTTTGCCAATAACTGATGATCAAAATAAAACTAAACTTTTGGTAGATCAATAAGGCCTGTCTTTGTCCCAACAATAATAACCTTGCAAAAGTAAAATGTTTTAAATCAACCCACAAAAATCTGTCTTCATCTTATTGGAAAACGTGTCTATGTGAATCTGTGACAGAGGCCAAACCTTTTTGCATGTGATAGATCCACACAGTCTGAGAGTAAGTAACAAGTTAGAGGGATTTTATATATTTATGTGTGTGGTTTGAAAGTGAGGTACCCCAGCTTTAACGCACACATGTTAACACAGACGGACGACTTACTGTGCCTGTTTGTTGAGGAGCGTTACGTTGACATTCCCTAAAACGAGACTTAAGTATAACCTGAAAGACAAAACAGTGACTTTATTTGAATAGGTCTGCAAAGCCCATTCCTTCAGATCTTTTCCATGAACAATTTCCTCACTTCTCCATGACCACAACTCACAGAAATTCAAGAGTGAACACATGAATAGAATAAAAGATGCAGACCAGTTTTGACACACTAACCTAACCTAAGAATACAGTTAGCATATTCCAACCCTAAGTTCAAACAAGTTCAAAGTATTTCAAGAGCCTATGAAATAGATATATTTTGCAGGTATTTTGAATAGCTGGTTAAACAGACCCATTTTTGGTGGGCAGGAAAGCTTCCATTTCCAAGAAGGCGGAGCTCCTCTCACTGATGCAGTCCTGGATGTCAGCGATGGTGAGGGCGTCATCTGGACTGAGGTGTTCAGGAGGAGGGTTCCTTTTGCATCTGCACAAAACACCAGTATAACCATCTGTGGTCGTCGATGAAGAAACTGCTACAGTCACAAAGCTAACACTTTCCTTCTGTGGTCTAACACGCAAAATATCTGGGGTACCACAGATACAAACCACAGATAAATAACTATGTAGTAACAGCCATCTCACCATAAACATTTGGTTCTATCTATTTGTGGGCCTCTGTCATGTGCTTAGATCAGCATTTACAGGCAGAAAAGTGAAAAAGAGAGGACCACCCTCACACAACCAATCAGCTCTGAGCCAAAAGCATCAAATCATGACCCATATGGCATACAAACGATAACAAGTTTTCTACTGAGAAGAAGCATGTTGGGGTTGGTTCAAATTTAGCAACATTTTAAGTTAGGTACCTCAGCTTTAACTTCATTGTACTGTATCAGTCCCTTTTCTGGTATATAGGAGGATTTTCCCAAATTTTAGGAAAGAATCGCCCTCTCCACTTTTTGAACAGAACTCTCTGGTCTTATTTGACGAGCATGTATCACCAGAATGATTGACAATTGGGAGGACCAATAGTCTTGATGATCCACCTGGATGTAGAAAATCCTCTATACCTTTAAAAAAAAAAGCTTTTCTGAACAATGGAGTTTTAAAACGGACATTTGTCATAGCGTTAATATGGAAACAGAGCATTTTGATATCCCGGTTCTAATGACCGGGATATGACAATAGCATGGATGAAGCTATTAACACCGCATATATATTTTTGTTGCATAGTTTAAAAAGAGGATTTTTCATACATCCATTTAACACAACAAAATAAGCCATGTTTTATTGAACATAGAATTACAATAACGATCTTTGGTTGCAGAGACAATCCTCTAATAAACAGACAGACATAATGATTACATATGATTGTATACTAACTTCACTAACCATTCTCATCTCAAATGCAGATCTGGAATGTCCAATGGGAACTTTCTATTTTTCTCGTGAGCTGTCATGAATAGAATGTGCTCAGTGAGTTTGGGACTTGCCCTGAATAGCTCAGACTATACCATAAAAGTGAGTGGTGCCTGGTTACGTACTCCTCCAGAGAAACTGCGAGCTCCTTGATTTTCTTCCTCTGTCGAGAGATGCCCGAAGAGCAGCTTGTCTGAAGTTTGGACACCTCCTCCAGCTTCTGCTTGTACTGCCGATGGATCTCCTGCATGGCCAAAATGAAGCAATAATTACATTTAACACTTATTTCTCTACAAAATTACAGAGGTCTGCTAATTTACAATTACATTAAAACAAGGTATCAACAAGATTGTTTAAGTTAGTTTTCAGATCCATTGCCTTAAATCTATAAAAATGACATAATTTTTGCATTTCATTCTATATTATCTGGATTATTTTGGAAGGATGTTAAAGTGACTCATACATTTACAGAGAGAATTTAGAATAACTAGATATTAGTAATATTTCAATATTGGATAATGCAACAGTTATGCAAAGTCTCAGTGACAGAAGCTGACCTGTATCCGGTTCATTTTAAGACCCATTAAAGTTTTGTGTTTCAACCAGAAGGTGAGACTCCAGCATTTATTATAAACCAGTGCCGATTGGTGCTGGCGATCCCTGCTGGTATCGACATCGCTGACTCAGGTATTTGAGTACCCGTTACTACTATACAATACAGGAAGTATAATGCAGCAGCGTACCGGGCGTCAAAGTTAAATAAAACTGAAATATTACAATTGTATTTATATTTACAGTGTATAGTAACAACACACATGTTATGAGAGGTTATTACACTCCTGTTACTGCACTGGGCAAAGTTTGGCAGTACAAAAATATATTCATAAATTGTGTCCTTTTTGTCCTTTATACATGATCTTGACAACACTGGCCTTTGTAGATGATATTTAGGGTCAAACAACAGCTGCAGTGAGTCCGCCCACCGTGGAGCCCCGAGACCGCTACTTGACCCTCCACCCCCGCCTCAGCGCCCTCTCCCGGGCTTTGGGGGCCACTGTCGGGCTCGCACACTGACCTGCAGGTGCTGATAGTCTTTGTCCAGCTCTGCCCATTCTTGCAGACACTCACTGAAGCCGCTGGGTGAGGACAACATCACGGACTGGTCAGTTCTGCTGCTCCCATGGATGTAGGCTGCTCCCCACTTCTGTTATGGCTGCTTGAAGACACACTTCCGGTGTGAGCAGATTTTCAAAATAAAGGCGAGTGCACCCCGATATTATTTTAGATACACCCGGTGTTTGAACTCAAACATGAATATTCATTAACACGTTTTAACACCAGGCATAATAATAATAATACTGATGATAATAGTAATAATAACGGCAATAATAATAAAATAAAAATAATAATAATAATAATAATAATAATGGCAATAATAATAACAATAATAATAATAATAATAATAATAACGGCAATAATAATAATGATAATAATAATAATCTATCGGTTTTTTTGTATAGCGCTTTTCAGACCACTTAAAGGCGCTTCTCGTGTCATTCATTATTTTTTCAATCCACACGGTGGTGATAAACTACTATTGTAAACATAGTAGTATAGTATAGTATAGCACTACATAGTATAATAGTGTAGTGTGCCATCGGCCCCTCCGACCATCACCAGCCATTCACACCAGACTCATTCTAGGCAGTGTGGGTGAATTTGCCTAAGAACACAACAACGATTTGGCCCTTTACAGCCGCAGCCGCCCCACTGTGGTACTATTGTTATAGTCATGTTGGTTATAGTTAGAATGGATGCTTTATATCATCTTTGACTTTGACCATTAGACTCATATGGAAGATTGGATCCTTTGGCTGTAATATTCCACAATAGGGAATTAACATTTTATTAGTCAACATAAAATGTTCCACAGCAATGGTATAGTTTTCACTTTTTATATCATTTGAAACATGCGGTTGATTGAGCCAGATATACGAAGCACATCTTATTCCACGGCTTAACTATTACAGAGGACCGCCAGCAGAGGGAGCCAAACTACCGTTTTGGATCAGCCCATGTTATCCAGGCTATGGATAAGGCCTGTGAGAAGGACTTGTGAACAAACATCATACGAGTAAACCTTTATCTCTTCCACGCACCACTATATCTATACCAAGTCTAAAAAGCCCTTTTCTGTGTTTAATTTGAGGGCTCACATTGTTAGGACCAAAAAGATTAACAACTATGCATTCATCACTTCACCGTTCCAAACAAACATTACAAGATACGGGACCGAATAATTATTTACATGTCCAGAGTGGTAATGGCTGAGTGGATGAGAGTGTTTTGAATCATGCTCTGTTGCATCTGAGAATCCTCAGTCGTCCTGGAGATAGTCAAATAAACAGTGTGGGTCAGTGCGGTTCTGTGTTATTGTGAGGTGTTTCAAGGCTTAAGAATTTAGCTGTGGCTGGTAGGTAAGTTATAGTTTTTGTTGTTTATTTATTGTATTTTATTAGATCAACTAGATAAAGTTTAAAAATGTATAATAAGGATCCACAGCCACAGGTTTCTGAAGGACTACTGTAGCTGTGATGGAGGGGACACATATTTATTATTCTGATTCAGTGTCACTGCTCCTCTGTCCCTATTGTTGTAATTATGTTTACAGTTATGTACAGGTAGATGGAGCAGCTCGCCTGTGCAAAACAGATGTCAAAAAATATGTATTTGATAAAGTTGAACCGTATTGATAAGATGTATTATTCAATGACACTCAATTACACATGGCATTATTTATTCATTCCATATACAGTGGTGATAACATCAACAGCTTTTTACCATCTGAAGAACATTGCCAAAGTTAGAAATATAGTGTCCAGGGCAGACTTGGAGATTCTTGTCCATGCATTTGTCTCCAGCAGGCTAGACTACTGCAATGGCCTGCTTACAGGTCTGTCCAAACAGACCTGTAAGCAGCTGCAGTACATCCAAAATGCAGCAGCTAGAGTCCTGACAGGAACCAGGAAGTATGACCATATTAGTCCGGTCCTCAGGTCTCTGCACTGGCTTCCTGTGGCTCAAAGAATAGATTTTAAAACGGCTCTGCTTGTGTACAAGTCTCTCCATGGCCTTGCACCAGAATACATTAGTGACATGTTGGTGTCATATGAACCGGCCCGGACTCTGAGGAGCACAGGGACTGGCCTCCTGCTGGTGCCCAGAGTGAGAACCAAACATGGGGAGGCTGCGTTTCAGATCCATGCAGCTAAGATCTGGAACAATCTCCCTGAAAATGTGAGGGAGGCGTCTACTCTGTCAATGTTCAAATCCAGGTTAAAGACTGTTCTGTTTGCCTGTGCATACAACTGAAGGATTTTATCTCCATTTTTAATGCACTGCTGTCATTTATTTATTTTTTTAAATTTCTTGTGTAATTTTGAAAGTTTTAATGGTTTTATTCTTTTGTGTGATTTTAATGTTTTAATTGTGTTTTAATCTTTTGTGTGATTTTAATGTTTTAATTGTGATTCTGGTGTTTGTTTTATGTGATGATTTGTGATGTGGACTGTGAAGCGCTTTGTGTTGCCATGTGTATGAAAGGCGCTCTACAAATAAACTTTGATTGATTGATTGATTGATAAACAACTACTGTAGCCACAGCTGCCCTGGGGCACACTGACAGAAGCTAAGCAACCAGTATGTGCCATCGGCTCCTCTGACCACCACCAACCATTCACACACACACCAGACTCATTCAAGGCAAAATGAGTGACGTGTCTTGCCTAAGGACACAACAACAGTTTGGCACTTTACTGCCGCAGCCGCCCCACTGTGGCACTGGGTGTTCCCAGAGGTCTCCCATCACAGTACAAACCATGCCCACTCTTGCTTAGAGGTCTGACAGAATCTGGCTTTCACATGCAGGTGACATAGAAGAACTAAACTGTAAACCCTAACTTCAATCGTACTTCAGATATCAAAGTTATTTTAAATAGATTTTTCCCAGTAAGTAAATATTACTCATTTATTGTTAGTTTATTTAAAGCTTGCCTATATCACTCAGGATTGTCTTTGAATTTAACTGTTTCTGTTCAAGTGAGCCTCACTTTTGACATTTTGACGTGTAGAGTCTTTAATGAGGCAGGTGTGACAATGGCAGGGTGGCCTGGTGGCTGAGTGGGTAGCACCATTACCTCTCGACTACAGGGTTCTACGTACGATTCCCGGTCAGAGCATAAATTTAAACTTTATTGCAATCACTTGAGTTACTTGGTAATATCAAGTAAAGGATGTACTCGAGTAATTCAAGTGAAGTTAATATGCAATTTATTTCCATGGTTTTTTCAAGTAAACTTTACTTGTCAGGGTTTACAGTAGGGTTGTTAGGATTGTGTTGGAGAAGTTCATCAGCACAGAGGAATTGTAAAAAAAAAAAAACAAAGAAACAAGATGTTGGTGTTCTTATTTGAATATACCATCATGAACAAAAGCCTCAAACTGGCATGACAGAGCGATGGGGGCAGGTTTTTACTTTGACAGAGAGCATGTAAAGAGCTGCTGAGAGCGTGTTCAGGAGGCTCATTTATCTTCAGTAAATCAAACACGGTCCATTCACACCTGCATTGTGCTTCGAAGAATCCCACTGGATACGACAGGCTAACAAACATGTCTGTCAGCACCACACAACTGCCATGCTGCAGCGCCCGGTGAAAACCAGTGCTCCACAATGAACCTGAGGACATGTTTGCATGCTGAAAAACAACAGCCACAGCACAATGAGGAGGAGCAGGTGGAAAATCAGTGGCTGTACCGGCTCGTGAAAGCCTGTGATGGGAGACCACTGGGCCGTAGTGGGACGACTGGGGCTGTTTGTGCAGTTACTCTGGTGTGTGGGAAGTGGGTGTTGTAGAGGCTGATGGCACAGATTAGCAAACTGACCTATAGGGGAGATGTGACGACATTAATCGTTTACCTCGATCCTCTACTGTATATGAATGAATAAATAGTGTAAGGCTATGTCAAGAACATCTAACATTTAGACAAGAAAAGAAAAGATTATGTAGACCTTTATGCATCCCACCGTGGGGACATTTCAATGTCAACATTGTGCACAGTACTGCAGAACATAAGAGAGGAAGATTTAAGAGCATGCAGATTGCACACATCCACAATAATCTATTATTTACGATAATAGTAATTAATTAAATGATTTATTAAATTAGACAATGCCCGGAGCTATAATAATAATATGTTTATATTGTACTTTAGCAACAGAGAATATAAATAAACAATAGTAATAACAGCAGAAGATACAGTGACTAGTGAATTTTCAAAACAAAAATATCAAACAAATGGAGTATGTAATAATGTAGTAATAATAATAATAATAATAATAACAACAGACAGAGCTCTTGTCCTCCCTTGGTGAAATCAGGTGTCCTTCCTGTGGGCAGCAGCAGCAGCAGCAGCAGCAGCTCTGTTCCATGTGATTTCCATGCTGAAGGACACACAGAGCAGATCTTTGCATACAGTTAGAGCGCAGCTCCGGCTGCACAGCACACGGTGCAACCAACAGTCTCAAGGCCCAAGTTTTACAACACACTATACACACTATATATGGTGCACACTATACATAATTATGCAATAGTTCTGCAATTACTAATGCTTCCACTTGACTGGGCTTAAAGGTTTCAGTTATTATAGTTATGAGCATAATCACACAAAAAATCAAATTATTCAAATTAAATCAATGTGTTTTTGTACTCCCAACAGTTGCAACCATCAGAATAGTCAACATTTAAACAATTGGAACAAGGAAAGACAATGATGAAACATATAATGGGTTTACCGCGTCCATAAACCATATTATTCATTAATATCCTGGATCATCCCCAATCCTTAGACTCCATTGCATCAGCAAGGAAAACTCCACACTGAGAGTCCATCTCCGTCTCCCATGGACAGACTTGATACAGAAGACAAAAGCACAATAGCCTTATTAAATGAACCCTACGTTCTCATTACGTATGAAACACTAGTCTTCCCTCTGCACTGGTGTGACCTGGCTGTGAAAGGTGTGGCAGAGTCTGTGTTCTTTGCCTGCTACGGGACAGTTTGCAGCGTGCCATCCGCCCAGGGTTCTTGGAGTGACCTCTATCACTATTTGCATTGATGGAGCTGAGCCTCTGCCTGCCTGTGGATTTGCCTTGCAGAGTGTAGTGAAATCAGGTACGTGCAGTTCATTTTCCTCTTGCACACTCCGCTTCAATCAGAACACAAAGTGATTTAGTGTTCGTACATTGAAAGTATTGTCATTTGCTGATGTAAACGGTTTGTCTCGTATTTAGCATGCAGTTTCTTTAAAATATGTTTTTTTTGAGCACCCAGTGTGTAAATGTAAACTAGATCACTCCTATTTGCATATTTCTGTTTCAGGGAGTGAAAAAGGCGCACATCCAAAATCTGTTTCATCCACATGGTCCATTGTCCTGTGCTTTAGCAGCTTATTGTGTTGGTGGGTGTGGTTATAGTTCAAAAGAATGGGGCGATGAGAGTTCTGTTCAACCACAACCTGAGGATTCTCAAGTGTAAAATGCCCCTAACCTTTTAATGTTCACTTCTTGAAGAAAGTAATCTAAATGTTTCTTTTCATGATTTTCTAAGACTAGGAGCACCAAGAACAAACAAACAAAAAATATATTATTATGTCATTAGAGTATTATATTATATTTATAGTATTATTATAGTTTGGGGGCGACAGTGGCTCAGTCGGTAGAGCATTGGCCTTTGAGCCTGAAGGTTGTGGGTTCGAGCCCACCACAAGACCTACTTCACAACTCCCACTGATGACCGCTGCCGTCGTGTCCTTGGGCAAGACACTTGACCCCACTTTGCCTGAAACCCCCACTGAAAGATCTCAGCTCCTGTGGACTCACCACCTGCAGGAGGATCAGTGAGGGGGTGGTGCTCTGTGAACTGGGTGCAGCTCTGACTGCCACCCCCCCGACCCAGAAATGGATGGATTATTTTTATAGACCAATATCAAGACAATACCTCTTTTCAAATTTGCAAAGAGCAACATCCATGAAATCATCTGCACTTGAAAAATCATCTGATATTGGTCTCTTTGCAAACTCCAGTTGAAATACCTGTGGCCTGACGGACTGTTTGATTTGATTTCCCCAATAGTACAAACAGTTTCCAAGGATGTTAAAAGCAGAAACTCAGCTGCGAGTGTCTTGATGAGAGGACGCTCGGACTGGGCAATACATAAAGTAAAGTGATTATTTGACGATTTGAAAAAGATAGGAAATCGAGGTGAGAATAACATGCAAGTTTCTTCTACAAGTGGATGTGTTGCCCTTTTTCAACCACTAGAAGTCCTGTGAAGGCGCGAAAAACAGAGAGGAAAGGAACTTATTTTCACAAATGATGGTGTAGATTTCAGCATCAAAACATTTACTTTATGATCAGTTTGGGATAAAATTTCAATAAAGCTTTTTGGTGAATGTTACAGGGAAATCTAAGGTACACATTGAGATAATAGTGCTCAGTAAGTAAATGTATTAAATTCTACAAAAATGTCAAAACACTCAAGTTTAGAAATATGAGAAAGATCTTCATGACCTTTACATTCATCCATAAGCTCAACTAAAAATTGCATCAAAATAATAATAAATAAATACAAAATCAAAAATGTTTGGAAAAGAATACTGCGACTTGTTCAAATGTGAAAATAATAGACAAAAACAGATCTAAAAATATTGGTACTTAGAACTGCTCTGTTTACTATACGATCACAGGGGAAGCATCTTATCCAAACTCGCATGTCAGGGGGAGGCGCTGAACAGCTGAACGTGCCATCACACATTGTTACGGGGATTTATTTATCAACTCTTCTATATTTCTGCAACTTTGAATACCCCTTATAGAAAAGCAACTAATCCCTTCCAACAATTGCGATAGAAAAAGGCCCATCCAAGTAGAATAGACTCATTTACCTAGCAGTTAAGGCTGTGGCCTCTCCAGCACTGCTCCTGTTACTCAGAGCTGCCTTTTTTGTCTGGGGATTCTGGGATTGGTCCGGGGCCCGTCATTTGCATGCTAAGGGCCACTTGAATGCGAAGCCGCCCGGATTTTCACTGCCTGACATGCAAAACTAGCGGGGGACCAGTTAAAGCAGAGCACGCGTATACAGCTCCACTCAGCGCAGGTGGATCAGTCAAATCACCTGACCCCGCCCTTTTGCCAGCCCCCCTCCTCCATGAGAATGTTATGGAAATGAGATTTGACTTTTGGGCCTATTGACTTGAAGATAGTTAAAGCAGATAAGTCAGTTAAGGTAAAGGGAGCAATTGAGACAAAGTGTTTTGAGTTAAGGTTTTGAGTGAAGGTTTGCCAACATGCCGAGAGCGTTTTTGGTGAAGAAGAAGCGTGGAGCGTGCGGAGCCTGGCAGTGGAAAGAACCGGAAAATGACAATATTAAAAAAGATGATTTATCGGGTAAGACGAACATGTTTTGGCTTTATTTTGCAAAATGGAGAAGAAGGGATGTGTCTGTTGTATTGTCATTGCTAAAGATACAGATCATATACTGCTTCTTTTAATGCATGAGTTAGAGATTTTATTCTATTTTAGTATAGAGTTACTGTTAATTTATCTTGTGCTTTGTGCTCCTCATTCCTACTTTTCTGTAACTTGTGATGCAACACTGACATTTCCCCACAGTGGGACGAATAAAGGATCTCTTAAAGATATCTAATTGATAACTAAATTGACTAACTAAGTATGTTGTCATTTTCTGGTGGTGGGTCATATTTTTATTTTGGACTTAATAAAGCCTAAAAACAATCAAACTCGCACCTCCATGAGTTTGTTGAGATGAAGTTAGACGTTCTAATCAAAGCAATCAGTAACAAGTGCACGTTTGACACTTATTTTCTTCATGTTGGCTTCAGTGAAATGTGTCAGGGAAGGCTTGTTCATTTATAGCACACGTTTATGGACTGAAAAGTAAAAAGTACTTTTTCTAGAATTGCTTAAACACTGTATAATAGTTGTAATAATAACATTTTATTTTGATTCCCTCAAGACGGCTGTTGTTGTGACTTTGAGCCATAGAAAAATGCACTGATTTGATTCGAAAGTCCTAAACTCTATCTGCATCATTGTTGTTTCAGCTCCAGACTCGTCGCCGGAAGAGACGAGCAGTGGATCAGATAATCAACAGGTTGCGTGCCCGGTCCCTCCTCAGGCATGTGGAGCAGCAGCTGACATCCGAGTCCCTATGCCAGCGATGTGTTCAGGGTCAGAGTCAGCGCGGGACTGGCCAACTCTCATGCTGCGGAACTCCTACTACCACCCCACCGCTATGGCCCTCATCAGCAGAGCAAAGGTTATTTTTATAAACACATTTTATTGTATATGTGTCAAATGAACTGAACTTCCATGAGTGTAACCGCACATGAACACCACCATTGCCCCTTAAACATGAACCTGCAAATGTCTACCTTGGCATTTCATGTTTAGAATGTGGAATATATTCTTACGGATAAAAAAAATTGGCCACATAGGCAATACTTGAAGAAAAGAAAGAGTGCAGATCTACTCCAGGAGCTATTTCTGAGGAGGATTTTTATTTATAACATGCTTAAAACTTAAAGAATAATGTAATGTAATAATGTAGTATAATGTAGTCAGGTCATCAGGCTGACCACGCTGATAAATGACACATGACAGGCTTGCAGCTTTGCAGCCAAAACATGTCAACAACATATCTAACTTCTCATGTCCTGTACGAATGGTGGAGACAATCTTATGGAGTTTTCACACCAGACCAATGTTTTCTAACTCATGTTGAAATGCAGTATTGACGCAGGAGAACAATAGGAAAAGTTACCATATTCTTTGGACCTGCATCAACTTCTTTGAATGTGTTATTTTGACTTTCAAAATCATTCTAAAGTCACAGATGTCAAGACTCCAGGGAGTCACATTATTATGGCATACGGCAGGATCATCATCCACATGGAGCCATCGGAACATTTTCAAACACATTTTTACCAGGACAACTTCATAAAGGAAAGAGCAGCGTTCATCAGCCCAAACTTTGATGATACTGCACTTGTGTTACGCTGCCGTTAATTTGCAAGTATTTTTGCATTATCCCTCGTGTGACCTTTGTCTAGTTGTATAACATTCTTCACCTGACCCACGTGTAGCATCGGGATCTAAAACACTTTGGTCTAAATTTGTTGTCTTAATTATCGTAATATTTGGTCAAGGTGTTCACACAGAACACGCTTTGGCCAAAAGACTGGGATTGCTTCTTGTCCAACAGATGCTCATGTGGTGGCGTCTTGCCCTCTTGTCTCATGTATGTTGGCGTCTTGCCCTCTTGTCTCATGTATGTTGGCGTCTTGTCCTCTTGTCTCATATATGTTGGCATCTTACCCTCTTGTCTCATGTATGTTGGCGTCTTGCCCTCTTGGCTCATATATGTTGGCGTCTTGCCCTCTTGTCTCATATATGTTGGCGTCTTACCCTCTTGTCTCATGTATGTTGGCGTCTTGCCCTCTTGTCTCATGTATGTTGGCGTCTTGCCCTCTTGGCTCATGTATGTTGGCGTCTTGCCCTCTTGTCTCATGTATGTTGGCGTCTTGCCCTCTTGTCTCATATATGTTGGCGTCTTGCCCTCTTGTCTCATATATGTTGGCGTCTTGCCCTCTTGGCTCATGTATGTTGGCGTCTTGCCCTCTTGTCTCATGTATGTTGGCGTCTTACCCTCTTTTCTCATATATGTTGGCATCTTGCCCTCTTGTCTCATATATGTTGGCGTCTTGCCCTCTTGTCTCATATATGTTGGCGTCTTGCCCTCTTGTCTCATGTATGTTGGCGTCTTGCCCTCTTGTTTCATGTATGTTGGCGTCTTACCCTCTTTTCTCATATATGTTGGCGTCTTGCCCTCTTGGCTCATGTATGTTGGCGTCTTGCCCTCTTGTCTCATATATGTTGGCGTCTTGCCCTCTTTTCTCATATATGTTGGCGTCTTGCCCTCTTGGCTCATGTATGTTGGCGTCTTGCCCTCTTGTCTCATATATGTTGGCGTCTTGCCCTCTTTTCTCATATATGTTGGCGTCTTACCCTCTTTTCTCATATATGTTGGCGTCTTGCCCTCTTGGCTCATGTATGTTGGCGTCTTGCCCTCTTGTCTCATATATGTTGGCGTCTTGCCCTCTTTTCTCATATATGTTGGCGTCTTGCCCTCTTGGCTCATGTATGTTGGCGTCTTGCCCTCTTGTCTCATATATGTTGGCGTCTTGCCCTCTTTTCTCATATATGTTGGCGTCTTGCCCTCTTGGCTCATGTATGTTGGCGTCTTACCCTCTTGTCTCATGTATGTTGGCGTCTTGTCGTTGCAGTCGCGCCCCCATCACAGCTCGTCCAGCTCTGGAGACTTTGTGTGCCAGGTGTGTCACAAAGTGTTCCCTCTGCAGCGCATGTTGACCCGCCACCTTAAGTGCCACAGCCTGGTGAAGAGGCACCCGTGTCGGTACTGCGGGAAGGGCTTCAACGACACCTTCGACCTCAAGAGGCACATGCGCACTCACACAGGTATGTGCTGTGTGGTCACGGCGACAAACGGTCAGGACAAGAGGAAAGAGGATGTTGTTTCTCTGAAATAAATACTTACTCTTTGTTGGGACATCCGGCTGATCATCAAATATCTTCATTTCATATATTTTTCTATTTATTTTTGTATATTTGAATGTAACATGATTGTTTTCTACTTTTTAAATATTTTTTTTATTTGTCGTTTTTTATTTATTTTATATTTTTATTTTATTATCCTCATTTTTATGATTATTACAAAAAAAAATCTCCATTTTTAATTTTTTTAGTTATAAATGTATATAGTGTTAAATGTCAAACGCTTGGGGATATTGTGGGAGGGACTGGGGGTAGAGTACATTCTTAAAATGCATTAGAAATATAATGAAAAAAAAACATCTTAATTTCAAACATAGAAAAAAATCAAAACCATCAAGTAGTGACTCGCAGGCCTTTTACTCCAGTTTTAAAATTGTGCAAAGCCATGGTGACAGGCTGTAGCCCAAACAAACCACAGTAAACCACTAACCTGCCTTGCATTTCAACTGATGGCCTTAATAAAATTCACACCGCCCTTTGAGAAACCATTGTTATCACCACAAAAATCACTCAGCCCCCTCCCTTTTGGCTCTTCCAGGCATCCGTCCGTACAAGTGCGAGCTGTGTGAGAAGGCCTTCACTCAGCGCTGCTCCCTGGAGTCCCACATGAGGAAGATCCACGGCGTGTTGCAGCAGTACGCCTACCGCCAGCGCCGCTCCAAGATCTTCGTGTGCGAGGACTGCGGCTTCACGTCCAGCCGCCCGGACGAGTACTTCCTCCACGTGCGCCAGTGCCACCCCGGGAGCCCTGCCCTGAGGCGCTACTACCGGCGCCAGGCCCAGGACGGCAGCAGCTACGGGCCCACGGAACGCAAGATCAACCCCTACCTTCTCTATTCCAATCAGTACTATGTGTAAAAGTCAAATAGAGACATTTTACTCCAACTTGCTCTGGCTCATATTGACTTAAAAGAAACTCTTCTAACTCAGTAAAAGTTCATGTCACACTCACTACGATAAGGTAACTTTATCCGCAGGAGGAAATTCAACTTGCCTTAGCAACCATGTTAGTCTGCATTTTTCGCTGCTACGGCACATAGGTCACCCCGTCGGAACTAATGCCCATATAGGGAAATTGGCTCCAACTAGCTTATGTTCAAATGGGCATCTTCCGCATTCGGCAAACTCCATTGATGATATCAGCACTCGGTCAGTCCACTCCCAATACACGGCTTATTTTCAAATCAAGTCTGGTTGATAATTCCGCGGCAAGTCGTGGAGTGGAGTTGCCTTTGCTGCCTCTGATTCCCTGCGAGTACAAGATGTGTTTTTTATAGTTACGTACACTGGCTGTTGGCAATTCTGATATATTAGTGATATTTTCTACACAAAAAAACAAGTGTGGTGATGATGCAGGACTCTCAACATTCAACAACATTCATGGACATTCATTTAACTTTAACTTTGGACATTGGTCATCTGCCCTTTATGGACCAATATCAATGTGTTTTTCTATCATTGCATTTGTTGTGAACTTTTGATTCTCTGATCTGTGTTGGCAAATGTGCAAAGTCCTCCAATATGACTACTGTTGTAATTTAGGGCTAGACAAGAATACATTGAATTGAATGGTTCCACTGCTGAGCTTATAGCAGTGTAGCAGGTACACACAGTATATACATCAGGAGTTTCCAACCTTTTTCAAGCGGAGAGCTACTATTTTACAACAAAAGAGGCAGAGAGCTGCAGTTGTAATAAAAATTGATCTAATAATTATGACAATATGAAAACACATGTCAAACATACCATGATACTGTATAAACCTATATTTACACTTATGATAGATGTGTAATGACTCAAAATGTATTCATTCAAGATCATTTGTTAGATTCTAAATCCATTGGCGAGCTACCTGAAAGGGGCTGGCAAGCTACTGGGAGCTCCCGAGCCACAGGTTGGAGACCCCTGATATACAGTATAAGGCTAAATGAAACATGCTGATGATGTGATGGATCTGACTGTGTACTCTCCAGCACTTTGGTAGTGTAAACTGCTATGCAAATTACTATTATTCTATTTTCTATGTTTTATGTTTATTGTCTTTAAATAAATAAGAAATCATATCTTTCTGAATTCAGCCTTTTTTATTTTAGTAAAATAAAAATACATTTGGTCTAATTCATGTAAAAATCTCTGCAAATGACTTATGGGTAGTTTCCTTTTTGTGCAAGAAATCTTCGGTGGTTTCCAACGGTAGATTTGCGTCCTGATTTGCATAAGGCTGCATCCTATAGAATAATTTGCGTAAATTTCTCCAGCTACTGTTGTGACATAGGCAAATCCCTATCTCATCTTTCGTAAAGAAGAAGAAGAAGGTCCTTTATTTGTCCAACAATGGGGAAATTTCAATTTGATGCATACACATATACACATACACATCAAGGCAAGCAGCGAACATCACTTCCGCGCTCCTTATTAGCAAAGTGGGTTAAGTGTCTTGCCCAAGGACACAACAACAGCAGACTTCAGTTGAGTTGGCGGAGAAGGTCTCGAGGTGGGCTCAAACCCACAACCTTGGGGCTCAAAGGCCAATGCTCTGCAAACTGAGTCACTGTCGCCTTAATCTCAATTACCAGACTGTGTCTTTACCTCTCTTAATGATAAGTGTTTGCTCTTGTCTGTGCACAAGTATATAGACATATAGAAACAATAATAATAATAGTATACAGAAACAATAAAATAAAATTTACCGGTGATTGAAATTTGGGCGACAGTGGCCACCGACTCCAACTGATGACTGCTGTCGTTGTGCCCTTGGGCAAGACACTTAACCCCACTTTGCCTGAGGCCCTCGCTGAAAGATCAAGGCTCCTGTGGACTCACCACCTGCAGGAGGATCAGTGAGGGGCTGGTGGTATGTGTACTGGGTGGCATCTCTGGCCACCCCCCCCCCCCCGACCCAGAAACGGATTAAGGGGAAGAAAATGGATGGATGGTGATTGAAATACCATCAATATGAATAGGAAAATTACAATATTTTCCCCCGATGGCCCAGCCCTACAGCAAAGCCTTCGTGCATGAATATTTAATTTGTTTTTGAATGTACTGTACTGATTTGTTTTATTTATATTCATTTAGGCAGTGAGGGTTACGTTTATAACATTTGAATACCAAATCATTATTTTTTGTGGGTAGGCACCAGACAGTTCAATCTTTAGGTTAGAAAAAAATACAAATGCTGAGACGCAAAAGGTTGCACTTCAGTTTTAAACCGATTTTATTTTTTATTTTTTATTTTTTTAGGTACTCTGTGTAATTTTTACAGTTTCTCCAAATGAAAAAAACATGTTTACCAAAAACAAATGTGACCTTTTTAAGAATATGTACCTCCACCCTGTTTTTGAATTGTTGTCAGAGTCTTAGAATATGACTAACTTAGATGTACATGAGAGAGGAGACTCTTCAGGTCAATGAGCCATCTTGAAATGCATTGTTTCCACCAAATTTGGGGGACCAAAGTAAAAGAACGACCCCAACAACAATCTTTTAGACAAAAAGAATTGTAATTCTATGAACTTTAAACTAACTTACATAATTCTGAAATAAGTTTTACATATTTGACATTTTCAACAAGCCACCATGATTTTAAACTGTTTATTTGAGAAGAGCGTCGTTTAACTTTGTGCATCATTTGCATAAAGAACATGATTTATTTTAGATTGCAACTGATATTGTTAACACATTGAAGTAAATAGCTGGGGCCCCAGAATGGATCCTTGAGGCACCCTTTTATTTACTTTTATTTTATTTAAACATTTTGATTTATTACAATGAGACCATGTGTCCTGCAATCATCACAATATGCATCATTTTAATAAAGCACATTATATAACATGATGTTTTAAATACACACTTGAATAAAATAGTGTCCATAATTCAGCACAGACATTCATTGAAACTCCCCTCTCCCTCACATTCACATACAGTGCGTGTGCATCAGTAAAACCAGTGACATACAGTATGTTCAGCTCAGCGGCAGATTCTCCATCCATCCATCCATTTTCTACCCTTTAATCCATTTCTGGGTCAGGGGGGTGGCAGTCAGAGATGCCACCCAAGTCTCATAGCACCAGCCCCTCACTGACCCTCTGCAGGTGGTGAGTCCACAGGAGGACGGCTGCTCTCTGAGTGTGAGCATAGCCTTGATCTTTCAGTGGGGGCTTTGGGCAAAGTGGGGTTAAGTGTCTTGCCCAAGGACACAACGACAGCAGTCATCAGTGGGAGTCGGTGGAGAAGGTGCAGAGGTGGGAAGCGGCAGATTCTGCAGAGTGCAAATGTCACTATGAAGTGAACTACGCAGAAAGATATACCAGCATATTGCTAATACAACAACCAAAGTGCAATACATGTCTCAAAAGTGCCTCACTTATGCACCGTGTAATCTTTTTTTATGAAATTATACTTGAACAAATTATTCAATAGTTTGAACATGCATCTTTCCATGTAAAAAGCTACACTGTGCACTTGAACAGTATTTCTATGTGTCACTTATGGACCGATCTTAACACAAACACAAACGCAAGATCTACTGCTGTCCACTCTTGTTTTTTCTCGTCTCCGTATTGTCTCTGGAGTTTTTGAGCTGCTGGATTTGGACCCCAGTATCACCCCTGCATACTAGACCCATACATTTGTGCTCGGAGTAGGGCAGGTGTCTCCAACCTTTTTCACCCAGAGCGCTGCTTTCCTGGGACAGCAACAGATAACTACTCATTTAAGTGGCCCTGGGAAAAATGTGGTGATATATTTGTGTGAACGAGCCTGATATCGAGTACAGTCATGAGTTATCATTGCATATTTGTTACAAGAGCACAAAGTAAGTTTGCATTTACGATAATAAATAAAGATCATGAATAATACAATCTGAAATATTAACTATATAATTTGATTCGTTCATTTTGAAATCCTGTGGCGAGCAACCATGGAAGGGGGTGGCGAGCTACTGGGGGCTCCTGGTTGGAGAGCCCTGGACAAGGGAAGAGTGAGGCCATTACCAGCCAGAGTCAAATTTGGGAAAATAAGGCACCTGTGATAGGTCTATGTTATCACTGATCCTGATTTGACAGCTATGGTCAAAAAGCTCTGTCCATACTGGTTATGGTCTGCTCCATAAGAGACCTAATGTCATGGTTTAGATTTATTTCCTGTTTTATTTTGAAGTTTGTTATATCCCTGTGTCTCCTTTGGTTGTACTTCCTGTTTGATTACCCGCCCTCATGTGTCTCACCTGTGTGTCGTTAGTCTTGTATTTAGCCCTGTGTGTTCCTTCACTCCCTGTTCCGTCATTGTCATCCCTCATCGGTTTTAGATCTGTCCTCGGCCCCTGTGCTTTTGGATTTGTTTTATCTTTTTATTAAATCCATTATTTTTTGTAGTTTTGCATTTTGGGTCTTGTTTACTTTTACCCATGTGACACCTAATGCATAAAACAGCACTTTTGTACTGCTTATTTCGTTTTAAGTGCTATCAATTGAAACACAACACTACATGTTAAAAATAGTGAATAGTTCAATTTTCTTGATAAAACAACATTTAGCTTTTCACACACAACTCTGTGATGTTGGATTTACTTGATAATGTCAATGAAGTCCAACAATACTGTTACTTTTTTGTTGTTGCTTTTATCAGATTAGCAAAAACATCAAAATGAATGGAGCATGGAGGAGGTAGGCTTTGATTTTCCTTTTACTTGAGCGATGCGGCTCAACTTACCCCAGTATTCCCTTGAGGATGAATAAAAAAACATTAACACTCAGTTACACATATATGTCCCAACTGAATGGAAAGTGATGTTGTTTAGCAGTGTATATATTTGACATGAGGCAGTTCAGAGCTCTCTCTTCATGTCCCCTCATATCATCAAGAGTCTCTGGCAGTCACACAGCGCCCCCTCTGGTCAGAACCTCCCTCTGCAGCACAGATACAGGTAGCACTCACTCCTCACCTGAGGCCGGTGGACCTGCACACACATGCACATGAAACAGAAACCCATCGGTAAACAACATCATGGATTAGCCTCAAAAATATATATAAATGTAAAAAGTAAGTTTGTGAGTCAAAAGCATATATATTAATACAATATCTTGCTAGCAGCATGGATTAAACATTACTCCAAGGCTTTCTCATCATAAAGAATAATGCATTTGTCATGATGAAATAATATGTTTTAATGAGATGACATTTCGGTTTGAACCAGATCTATTCTTCATCATAACACATTAGCCTACGAGGGGGAAGCAGATACAAAACAAAGCCCCAATCTAAAACCAGAGACTGTCCCAGAATCTTACACCGGTTTGAGACACATGTTGAGGAAAGAGTGGAGAGGCTCAGACAGAATGCCACCTTTCCATCAGCGAGGACAAAGACCGGCTGGATCTGCCTTGTAACCACCCAGTGCATCTTTGTGAACATTTGTTAAAAGAAATGAGAAATAGAGTACAAGCTGAAACTCCACATGTAAGAACACATCGGGAATTGAGCAGGGGCCCAGCATTTTTGCACATTTCTTTCTTTTGCACAATCTTGAGGGTTTCTATCCATGCCAGATGTGACATGTAAATTTCTCCTGTGTGAGATCAATAAAGTCTATCTTATCTTATCTTATCTCGTTCAAACTAATGTGCCACCACTTTTGGCTTCTATGGGCTTTTTCCAAATGGCAGCGGGGGCAGGAAAATGTTAAAAAAGTGCACCTGCTCATGGACCTTTTGGAGCCGGGACCTGCCCCCACTGATTGGATCATGTGAGGAGGTGGAGATTGTGGTGCAACACAAATCTTATGTATGTTATTATATGGTACTCAGCTACTGTCAACACATACATCTTACCCTGTGAAAGAGCAGCATGTGCCTGTGGACAGGGATGACCAGTGGGTAGTGGCAGACAGGGGGCCCTCTCCGCTGAAACATATCACAGAGCAGTCATGAAAACGTGGCTCTGCTCCTAGATTGAGCATGAATCAACACAAACATGAGAGGAACGAAAAGTGTGCGCTTACATATGCAGGTACATCCATACAGTGGACAGGCAGCTCTGCGATTGGAGAGAGACAGTCAGACAGAGCTCGTGGTAAAAAAGCATGGATCATGTGGAGAGTAAAAGAGGAAAACAGGCAAAAGACAAGGGGCATGCTTTTGCAGCAGAAATACAAATATATCAGTATTAGTGAGTATATGAGTACATACTTATAACGTCTAATCAATGTAAGTAAGTAATGTTTATTTATATAGCGCATTTTACCGACCAAGGTCACCCAAAGCGCTTTACAATGTTCATTCCACACGGTGATGACAGAAGCAAGTCGCCGAACACATTGCGCATCAGCTCCAACCAACACCATCCATTCACTCTCTCATTTACATTCACACCTATTGTGCATGTTTTTAGTGGTAGGGGAAACCAGAGCACCCGGAGGAAACCAGAGCACACACAGGAAGAACATGCAAACTCCACTCAGAAAGGCCCTGTTCCAACCGGGATTCGAACCCAGGACCTTCTTACTGAGAAGCGAGCATGCTTACCACTCAGCCACCGTACTGCCCTAATGTATCATTTGTTTCTTTGTTTTTAAATGGGAAGTGGTTATTTCTGTTTTCCTTGTATATCCCCAAATTTGACACAAAACACAAGGTCAAATTAAAGCCGCAAGCGGCGTCGAACGGCCCTCGCCGCACCGCGCGCAACGCGCATCAAGCCGCTCCGCACCAAGCCGCCCCGGATCAAGCCGCTCCGCACCAAACCGCCCCGCACCAAGCCGCCATGCATCAAGCCACCCCGCACCACGCCGCCCCGCACCACGCCGCCCCGCACCACGCCGCCCCGCACCAAGCCGCAACGCGCCGCTCCACAACCCCCCGCACTACGCCCCACCACACAGTACCACGCAGCACCGTGCAACGGAGGTGGCACCGCCGTGTGATGATTTGTTGCTGTTGCCATAGAAGAACGTTAGTCAAATTGTAATGAATATGATGATTAGAGCTGTTTGGCACCCCATGTAAAAATTTGCCTCAATCTGTAGGGGGCGCTATTGGGCCAATTTCAAATATTTCACTTTCACCTGACCTAAACCCTGGAGTTGAACACATGGATTCAAGTTTTGTGCAAATTAGACTTTGTTTGTGCAAACGGGAGCAAAATTAATGTTGTGAAAAACGGCCAATAAACACTCACATTTTGCCGCTCCACTGCTCTAACAACGTTTCACTTATCAAAAATCCCTGAGGTCATTTTGATGGTACATGTGTTTAGACAATGTGGAGTGATATGGAGGCCAATCTGTGAAACGGCCGAGGAGGAGTCGCTTTCCAACCGACATGTGTGAAAATGATTGCGGATCATTTTTCCATTTTGCAGTGAAATTTATGGGCCATGATAACATTTCGGTCGTATCTTGACTTGAGGAACATGTGTACCGAATTTCATGGCTCTACGACAAACTTGACCACTGAAACTCCCATTGGCTGTTGTAGGTGGCGCTGTTCTGGCATTTTTTGAGTCCCATAAAAATAAACAGCAAAATATCAAATTTTTCACCAGGTCTGATGTTTGGGCAAAATTTAACAACTTTTCATGCATGTTCAGGGGTTCAAATTAAGGCTCAAAGTGCAGAATTTGACATCTCTTGAGCAAAAACAATAGGCCCGAGACCCTAACGGGGGCTATTTTTATTGAAATAATTCAATAAAATCTGGCAGAAATTTCCTGAAGAGAGACAGGACTCAATGTTCAAATCCGGTTACACCAGTTCTGTTTGCTACTGCACTTCACTAAAAGATGTTGTCCATACACGACTCCTCTAGCTGTATGTCAATTCTTGTGTAGCGTAATTTAAACTTTCCTCTTAACAACATTTGAAAACATGAAATGCCAAAGTAAATATTCCCAATGTATGTTTTATTGAACACAGATAATCTTGGCTTAAAAAATGACGACCTTTGCCAAAATAATCCATGCAAAATCAGAACTGACACCCTCTAATAGTGAACAGAAAACCTTGGCTCAGATTTATGGCCGTGTCCCTCCGTGCAGCATCACTCTGGGCTATTCTGGGACTATTTACTGTGACTCAGGCCCAGTGTAAGCACACGGCGGGAGGCAGAGCATGTGTTTACTCAGAGAGGCTCATATTGTCTGGGTCTCTGTCGTCCAACATTCTGAAGAAACTGACTTTATACTGGAAGGAGGTGTTGGCCCGCCGCCCTGCATACCTCTCCTTTACTGCAGATAACACGTTTAGCACTAGGACTCCCACAACTCTGAAACTACTAGAACACTTTGACGGCTTCCATTCAAATCAATGGAATGCGTAAAAAATCCCCCAAAAATCTGTTTTTGTAAGTATTTAAGTACGTTAGTAATCTTTATTTATATACTGCCTTCAACGGACCAGAGTCAAAAAACGCTTGTTTTTTTCACTCCACACAGTGATGGGAGCGGGGTCGCCGTACAGTCGCCAGAAGGGAAACCGGAGCACCTGGAGGAAACCTACGCAATCAGAGGGGAACAGGCAAACTCCACACAGAAAGGTCTGGAGGTGCAACCCAGGACCTTCTTCCTGTGAAGCACTAACCACTGCACCACCCACTGCACCACCCACGGTTTAGTTTTTTTACACTACTTTTATCAAAATTCAGTCATTCATACAGGATTTTTTATCTTTAATACTTGTGAATACAACTGAAATACTAACACTAATAAACTAAATACTAACTGATGCAAGTAAACAGTGTGTTGCTATGGTAACCAACACTTGCTCCAATCTGAGCTAGGGCAACACCAGTCTAGGGCCAGTCTAGGTCGAGATAATTACATACACATCATTACATTTAGATAAAATACATCTAGACACAGTTATGAAGACCAAAAACATAGACGGCTTAATGAGAGTTGAGACGGTTTTAGAAAGGGGAGCGTATTTCAAGACAATACTCATACTTTGAATAACTATAGAGTCATTCAAACATTCGATATCAACATTGTCCACAGATTTGGAAGTCTTTACTTTGTCCAAAAAAAGAAGGGAAAGACTCATTCTCATTGTTTACAGTTGACTATTCTCATGATCATATCTAATGTGTGCAAAATACAAAACAAAATGATTAAACAGAATTCAAAAAGCAATGTTTTACCTTGACTTGTTTCAACAGATACTTCCATCTTGCACAGAAGCGTCTCACGATGTCACACATGGCACAAGACGCTTCTGATGTAAGAATCCGTCCAAACATGTCAAGGTAGTAAAAATGCCAACTTACTATTATCTGGTATAGAAAAACTAAAATACTATTATTTCTACTGTAAGACAAGATATATTTTCCTTTAACTAAAGGGAAAAAATCCTATAACCTAAATATATGTCTTCTAAAAACATAAAAGGTCATAGAATTAAAGATAATAAACATGTTTAATCTTATGCATGTTTCGATTTTTGACTCTTGCCTTGCAGAGATACAGACACATTTTGGTACCTTGAGAAGTTTTGGGTACTCTTAATTTAATTTAGAAGGCTATTTGTGAGAACTTGAGAAGAAGACAACCGTGGCTCAAACACATAAATGACAAATGACTGCGGTAGTACTTTGATAAACAGCTCTACTCAGACAAGGTTAAGCACACCATAAAACGTCACAATGAAACACCTTCCAAACACAAAACTCGACCAGTCCATCCACAAGATGTCAAGCAGTGTGACAACATCCCCATGCTTTACACAAAGTGAGTCAGGAGCAGTGATACCTGTGTGTGGGTGTGTGTGCGTCTCGCCTGTGGCCTTGGCGCTCCTCCAGTCCTGGAGCTCTCCTCGGAGCCTGTCCAGCTCCTGCTCCAGCTCTCCACACTTCCTGTGGGCCTCCTCCAGACGCCTGGAGCAGAGCAAATCTACTTTATGAATGCTGTGCACTCGTTCAGGCAACACTTTGTCATGATGTAGTGTGTCAGAAATGTGTGTTCCGAATAGGGTACAGTTGGTGCCAATACCGTCATGCTTCAGATATTATTAGATCCATTTGATGCAAGTATAAAAACAACAGCCTTTTAAAACAGCTCCCAACTGGATTGTTCAGCCAATACAAAGACAGATTTCGATGTCTCTTAGATTTAGGTATATTTAAGTATGAAATGATCTGACGATAGTGTGTGTATGTATGTATGTATGTTTTTTCGCAATACATGTACCCAGGAAGATTAGCGACCACGTTGGTGGAAGTGAATTCGGATCCCCAATTATCAATAAACAAGAAACAATAAAGACACATGGTCAAACTGTACCATTGTTTTCAATGTTAAACAAAAGATATGAATAAAATAGTGAGTACTAAAGGTTGACATCGTAATAGCTATGCAATTCACATTTTCTGGGGCCTGTCCCAAGCCCCTGAGGTCCAAGATGTCTGCTTGTACTTAAAGTTATTAGCCAGATAATTCTAATCATGTGCAGTAGTGCTACCGGTGTTTCCTTTTGTGAAGGCTGTAGGTGTGTTTAAGCTGAAAGTTTGAGTTCACATAAATAAACTCGGCTCCACAGTGAGTCTGGCCCCAAATCAAATAATCAAAGCAGCCTCAGCGCCGAGTACCACCTCTGAGCCGGATGTTGGAACCAAGGCACTGGACAGAGGCAGTTTTAAAGCAGTATACATGAATGATAATCTAGCTATTCTTTGAAGCAATCTCAGACAAGGTGTTTTGTGTTGGTTGCAAGTAAAATTTGGTTTGTGCATTCTCTCCGGTACCTGTGCAAGTCCTTCTGAACAGCAGATATGTGGATGTCCTCCTCACTCTCTGTGGTTTGAGTGGACACAGTGGTGGACAGAGCAGTGGACACGGTGGAGACAGTGGGGCTGACCGGAGAGCTGGGTCCCAGAGACAAAGGCAGCTGCAGCAGGACGTTCAGGTTGTCAGGCAGAGAACCCCGAAGCTGCCATAAATGCCTCTGCATGGCAAAACAGCATACATAACATAATAAAGAATACTATCAATGCAGAACTAAGGCCAATAGCAGGGCACGGAGCCAGGCACAGATGCTGAATGTAGATTAGGGTTCATCACATGACAGAATTTCAACAGAATTACATGATACATCCTTCCTGTGGACTCTGTGAATTGGCAGCTCTGACTGCCACCCCCACCCAACCCAGAAATGGATTAAGGGAAAGAAAATGAAGAATTAGATTATACACTAGATTCACAAATAAGAAAATATTGGAGAAAAGACTTTACACTGCAAAAAGTGATAAAAAAATAAGTTAAAACATGCTCAATTTTGGCAAAATGTACCTTATTTTGAGCACGTTTTGACTGCCTTAAAACTAAATTTGCCAATGAGCAAGCAAATCAAAAAATCTCTTCCTTGGAATGAGAAAAAAAAGTTTGAGATAAGACTAAATGGCTTTGTCCCATTAACAAATCTTGTTTTAAGACAATGGCAATTTACAATCCATTACAGTTTATTGAGACAAATGTTACCTCAATGCTGCCCTGTTTAGAGTGTAGGTGATGTCGCACTCACCAGTTTGTCAGTGTTGTGCATCTTCTCACACTCCCTGAGGCGCGTGTGGTCCATCTGCAGCAGGATGTCTTCACTGCGGTCCATGGCCCCCGTCTGGCTGTAAAGCAAGTTCCAGTTCATCTCGGTCCATATATACCACAGGAGAGGCGGTGTAGTGTGAGGGGAGCGGGGTGGTCTGCAACAATCACCTGGTGGCGGTGTAGGAGTATCCAACAAAGGCCAGGTGCACCCCCAGAGGAGCCCGGTCCATCACGTCTGAGAGGGTCTCCTGAGGACAAACATACAAAATATCATTCAAAAACTCTGATATTCATAGTCATGTTGGAGCCGTCTGAACCGGCTCGGACTCTGAGGAGCACAGTGACTGGACTCCTACTTGTGCCCAGAGTAGAACTAAACATGGGGAGGAAGCGTTTCGGGTTCATGCAGCTATAATCTGGAACAGTCTTCAGGCTGTGCATACAACTGAAGGATTTTATCTTTACTCTTTTTAATGCACTGTGGCTATTTATGATTTTATTTTTTATGTTTTTGATATTTCTTCTGATCTTATTGTGTGTTTTTAAGTCCCTGCGGGATTTGTATTTTTTAATGTTTAGGCTTTATGTGATGTGGGTTGTGTGTTGCTTTGTGTAGGAAAGACACTCTTCAACTGAATAAGATTTATTGACTGAAAATGTACATTTGAGTTTTGTTCATTTAGTTCTGTGTTTCAACCTACAGTATATTTGGTCTTCCCCATCCAGATTTTTGAAAAACTCTTGAGGGACTATTTGACGCTTTGGTCTCAGAGGTGGGGGGCGACAGTAACTCAGTTGGTAGAGAATTGGCCTTTGGGCCGGAAGGTCGTGGGTTGGAAACCATCACGGGCCCTACTCCAACTGCTCCCACTAATGTCAGCTGTCGTTGTGTACTTGGACAAGACACTTAACCCCACATTGCCTGAAGCTCCCGCTGAAACACCAAGGCTGTGGCAATATGGATGTAGCAGCCATCTTCCTGTGGACTCACCACCTGCAGAGGACCAGCGAGGAACCAGTGCTAGAAGCATTAGGTGGCAGCTCTCATTGCCACCCCCCCGACCCAGAAATGGACTAATAATGAGGTTGAAAATTAAAATGAATGAGCTGATTGGCCAAGAGAGTGTGGTCACTATTTTTCCCGTCTCTTTGTCTATAAAAGCAGTATATAGACAGAGAAAGTCTTAGTGCAAGAGACGCCGAAAATACATCCTTATGAAAACTAGTGAAATTGTATGATTTTTATTTTGAATACAGTGTGTTTTATATGTGAAGACACTGTTTTTAAGTTTTATTGTCTGTATTTTAATTGCTTGTGAAGCACACACACACTCTATGAATAGTGCTTTATAAAGACATTTGATTGATTGATTGATGACACAGTCGTTTTAGTTAGGTATCCCAGCTTTAAATGCACAAGCACCATTTCACTCAGGCAGTCGTCCACCACGTCAAAGTTGGATGTGTCGGTGGGATTGGTCACTTCGGGCTTGTATGGCGCGGTGGCCTTGTGTAGCGCGCTCCAGTCCACTCCGCTGAAGAAGGGGTGTGTCCTGAAGTCCCCGGCCCCCCTCCTGCCCAGCCGGACGTCCCGCTCGCTGATGAGATCCGTGACCAACAAGTGGGCCCTGTCCGAAAGCTGCGCGCCAGATGGGGGGAATTCAAAGTACTCCTGTGGATTAAAGCAACAGACCGCCACTTTTAATCTCCTCGTGTGAATGTGTTTTTAAAGGGGTCGACAGCATTTTATAACAAACGTAAGCATGCCTTCTCTGGAGTACTACCAAATACTTGAGTACTACTTCAGGAATTTCTCCACTTTGAGACATATACAGTAAGAGTCGATTAGACAAACAAACATGGAGACTAAGAACAGTCATTGGTCCAAAATAAATTCACAACAAAACAGGAAACAGATGCTTCAATTAAAGTTTTTATTTTTATGTTGATTCAAGTACATTTTAACTGAATGTCTTTGAGTAAGAGTAGCTATCTCATTAACAAATATTGTATTGTTTTGTTGCATTTGCTGTGTGCCTTTTGAGCCTTACACATGATCTTGAGAATATTTACTATGGAATACAAAATAAATTCTAAACTTTGGAATAAAAAAATGAAAATGTCCAATGAGCTCAGACCTTTTTCTGGATGCATTTGTTTTATACAGTGCTGTTCTGGACACTCATATACAGTGCTTTTATGGACACTCAAAGATGCTTCACATGGCATTATTCATTCACTCTTACACAGTGGTATTGAACTCCGACTGTAGTCACAGCTGCCCTGGGAAAGACTTGGCAGAAGCAAGGCTGCCAGTCTGAGGCATCGGCTCCGATAACTTAACTTACCTGAAAATGTATAATCTTAGCGTACGTCTCTGTGATGGACTCAGCGTAGAAAGGAGTGGAGCCCAGCAGCATCTCGTAGGCACAGACTCCCAGAGCCCACCAGTCACACTCACAGCCGTAGCCCCCTCCACCCTCGATGGCCCTCAGGATCTCAGGGGACAGGTAATCTGGGGTCCCCACCGCCACTGTCGAATGGATCTGAAGAATGTTTCACAAAGTTCATCCAAACACATCTGCAGACTCGGATGTTGAGGTTAGGTATAGTCATGGCTAATTCAATGCAGGGTCCAAATCCATCCATGGTGCAGACACAGGGAGAAACCCGAAAATGATTACTCTGGCCCTGGATCAATGGTTCTGCCTGGTTTACATTGGAACACTGAGTAGGACCACTTACTCCAGCATACATTGCACTCACCAGGCCGTCCTCAGAAAGACGCAGACACGAGCCGAAGTCCCCCAGTCGGATGTGTCCATCTGCAGTTAGCAGAATGTTGTCTGGTTTGATGTCCCTGTGGTTTAAATATGAAAAGGTTATTATATAAAATAGAGATAAAACTATCATAGGCTGAATAACAAAATAGGTTTGGTAGAGAAGCCTTGGTCATTCTGTCCTTTCTACTACGTATTCTTTTTATGCACAAGGCTCAGGCCGTTTTGGATGTAGGAACTCACCTGTGCACATATCCCAGTCGGTGAACAGAGTCGATGGCCAGGACCATCTCAGCCAAGTAAAACTGAGCCATGTCTTCAGGAAGTCGGTCTCCAAACTTACTGAGCAGAGTCAGAAGGTCACCACCCACATAGTAGTCCATCACCAGGTACTGTGGATACATGCACATCTGAATGCTAGCATTGAATAGATACAGTTAAATAAAGAGATAGATTATACTTTTTTAATCGCCCGTAAAAGAAAATCGAGAAAATAAGCAGGGCCTGGTTTGTACTGTGATTGGTGACTCAGTGGGGACAACAGATACCACAGTGGGGCGGCTCTCTCCAGAGGCATTGAATGATCTATTATCTGCAGCAACTCATCAAACACGACTTCTTGAGAGACAGGCAGCAGTTGCATCAACACCGTTGCATCGCAGTCCATTTTTACACACGTTTCACTAATGACACCCACTAATACCAGTCCTAACATTATATACCTCAGCTCAAATACTCGGATGACACTGCAGTTATGAGATTCACAACATCAGTCAGTGGAAATAGAGGCCCAAGTCCCACCTTCTCTTCTCTTAGCTATAGTTCAGAATCCACGATGCCGTCCACGTTAACCAATCAAGTGATGCCAAGGGCTGTCAATCATCGCGCTGATGCTCGTAACTGCTCGCATGCTCAGTTGTTTGTTTTCGCGGAGCCTCTGAATCAAGAAAACTTAACAAAGAATTCTGAACATCCGCGCTGAGTTACCCAATTATATACTGATCCTATATCCATAATCATTTATATACTGAACCTATATACATAATCATTTATATACTGAACCTATATACATAATCATTTATATACTGAACCTATATCCATAATCATTTATATACTGAACCTATATCCATAATCATTTATATACTGAACCTATGTCCATAATCATTTATATACTGAACCTATATCCATAATCATTTATATACTGAACCTATATCCATAATCATTTATATACTGATCCTATATCCATAATCATTTATATACTGAACCTATATCCATAATCATTTATATACTGAACCTATATCCATAATCATTTATATACTGAACCTATATCCATAATCATTTATATACTGAACCTATATCCATAATCATTTATATACTGAACCTATATCCATAATCATTTATATACTGAACCTATATCCATAATCATTTATTTACTGAACCTAAATCCATAATCATTTATATACTGAATCTATATCCATAATAATTTATATACTGAACCTAAATCCATAATCATTTATATACTGAACCTAAATCCATAATCATTTATATACTGAACCTATATCTATAATCATTTATATACTGAACCTATATCCATAATCATTTATATACTGAACCCATATCCATAATCATTTATATACTGAACCCATATCCATAATCATTTATATACTGAACCTATATCCATAATCATTTATATACTGAACCTATATCCATAATCAGATCCTCTGCAGATGTGTCCTATAATGTTCAATTAATGATAATAGCTACTTCCGGGTTGGCCGCGATTGTTTTTTGTGTGCATTAAAACATTTTTTTTTTTCATGAAAACGTTAACAAATAATTTTGAAAACCTCCGTGCATGTGTATTAACAATGTATATGGTGTATGTATGTGTTCTCTCATTAACATTTAAATGTGTTACGGAAACGTAGGTGTAGACCAATCAGAAAGGAAGAGTGAGGGAGCTTGGGTCGTTTTTTTTCAAAGTACCTCTCTCTCTCTCTTTCTGACAAACTGCAGACAATCACTTTAAATATTTGGGAGCAGCCCTGGGACCAGCACATTCAGTCACACAAAAGAAGTATGTCAAATATCTGCTATATTTTTTATATTTTCACAAAGCGAGTTCCATGTTGTCAGTTCAGTGATTTGTGATTGGGACGGCCTTTAATCTGCCGGGAGCACAGAGATCCAGTCTGCCTGGTCCCATATCCATCTGCACTTGAGCATGCATGTCAGAAAGTCTCAGAACATATCTGGCTAGTGCTCAATTATGTCAAGTGATCAAAGTCAAGTTTTTATTCAATTATATGTTTTGGTTTTTATGCAAAGTTGCAAAAATTCTTCAAAATTATATAAATGCAAACCAAGAAAAGAGCAATGGAGTTTTCTTAAATGAGACGGGAAAGCAAAGGTAACGTAAAGGGCAGTTATGGTCTTGTTTCCAGCAACCTGACGTCCATGTACAGTATATATACAGTGTATAAACATATACAGTAAGTACCAGATAGTTGTCGTCCTGAAAGGCATAGTGCAGCTCTGTGATCCAGCGCCGGTCTCCTCTGAGCAGCACCTCCCTCTCCTCCTGGTAACACGCCGTCTGCTAATACAACCAAAGTCACTTACTTTATTACAAGCATCTCCAACTCCATTTAGCTGGAGGCTGCGGCTGAGGTGGGGCCCAGTCTGGGGGAGGTAGTAAGGGGGATGTTTACTTTTATGCAAAATATATGAACATTGGATATATCAATCTAACTTGAACAGATGTAAAAAAAATATTTTAAATTGCTATTATTTAAGAATTCCATCCATCCATCGCTCTTCTTCCCCTTAATCCATTTCTGGGTCGGGGGGGTGGCAGTCAGAGCTGCACCCAGTTCACAGAGCACCAGCCCCTCACTGATCCTCCTGCAGGTGGTGAGTCCACAGGAGCTGAGATCTTTCAGTGGGGGCTTCAGGCAAAGTGGGGTTAAGTGTCTTGCCCAAGGACACAACGACAGCAGTCATCACTGGGAGCCGTGAAGTAGGTCTTATGGTGGGCTTGAACCCACGACCTTCAGGCCTAAAGGCCAATGCTCTACCAACTGAGCTACTCTCGCCCCATTCTCATTCTTAATTAATAGCAGTAGAGAAAGTAAACGTTTCTAGAAAATCATAAAAAATAACGTGACTTTTAAGATATTTGATCCAATAATTATTTGTTTTGAACTTGTATGTATATTATCAAATAACAAAATTAGTCCCGGTGCAACTGGACTAATGAAGGCTAGGTATTGTAAACTGCTGGCCTGAATAAGGTTTACTTTGAATGATGACTTATTGCGTTGAGGGTTTAATGTTTGTGATATAAATGCTGTCGTTGCTTGAGAATTAAACCATGCATCATCGCCGGAGCAATTTTAGGGAATGAGAATAAAAACAATGAGTGAATTAATTTGAGTGAATGCTGTAACATGGCATCAAGAGTTTTTTCAAGATTTAAGATTGGCCATTTGCAGTAAAACCACATCAGAAAAACTGTGCAAGACCCCAGTGCAAGACTACCGCAGTGCAAGACTACCGCAGTGCAAGACTACCCCAGTGCAAGACTACCCCAGGGCAGGCCCGTCGGAAGGGCTGTGCGACCTGTGCCGTCGCACAGGGCCTCGCACCACACAGGGGCCTCGCAATCTTCATTCCTTTTTTTATTTTTATAAATACAATAGTTCAAGGGTCCCCAAAGGGCAGACTGCGCTCCAAGTTTGGACCCCTAAACCAATTTCTCTGGACTTCTTTGATTTCGTTTAATCAAAAGACAATTTTTACAAGTAAAGTCAAATTTTCACCAAAAGCAATTTGTAAACAGGCAGGCGCGCGGGCAGCTATGTATGCAGCGGGTCCTCCGAAAAAACTTTACGGAGCTGTCAGATAACTTTAGCAGTGTCTGAGTGAGATACGAAGAAAGAACCGGGAATGATCGCAGTGTAGGATAGATGGATACTCGCGGAGGAGGAGCAGCGAGACAGGTGTGAGCAGAGGAGCAGACCCCTTTGTGTGAGCAGAGGAGGAGGAGGAGGAGGAGGAGCAGCGATACAGGTGTGAGCAGAGGAGCAGACCCTTTTGTGTGAGCAGTGGAGGAGGAGGAGGATCAGCGGTGTGACAGGTGTGTGAGCGCTGTTATTGCCAATGTTTAGTCCGAATATCCACATCAAAAACATATTTTTAAAAGCATTAGCAAACACACTGTATGTCTAGCTTTAGCGGCCACTGCGAGTGGAGTGGATTTTGGGCATAAAACGCCTTGTTATGGTCAGAGTGTGTGGAGGAGGAGGTGAAGAGTATGTTGTTGTGGTCAGTGTGGAGGAGGAGGAGAAGGAGCATATGTTGTCAGAGTGTGTGGATGCATGGCAAAAACGTTATTTGCCATGCATCCGGAGTCAATATAAATAACGGAGTCAATATATATATAGCCTCATAGCCATTTTGGCGCATTTTGCCGAAATCTAACTATTAGAAGAAAAAGACTTTTGAGTTGCTCTGCCATTTTGCCACAGGACAAAAGAGCCATGTCAGCTAAAAAGACCGCGACCAATATCGCAATGCCAAGTGCCATAGTGTTTGTGTGTGCGTGTGTGCGTGCCCGCGCCCAACACTGCATAGGAGCGAAGACACTCGGCTACGCGCGTGCTGATCTCTTCACGCACCGCGCGAGGTGGTGCTGAATTCATGTCAAAGATTATAACAGGAAAAAATGTCCTCAGATCTGGGAAAAAAGTGTCAGGGCAGGGCCTCGCGTTTCGAGTTCGCACTGGGCCTCGCACCCCCCTTGTGACGGGCCTGCCCCAGGACTAGACTACCCCAGTGCAAGACTACCCCAGTGCAAGACTACCGCAGTGCAAGACTACCCCAGGGCAAGACTACCCCAGTGCAAGACTACCCCAGTGCAAGACTACCGCAGTGCAAGACTACCCCAGGGCAAGACTACCCCAGTGCAAGACTACCCCAGTGCAAGACTACCGCAGTGCAAGACTACCCCAGGGCAAGACTACCCCAGGGCAAGACTACCCCAATGCAAGACTACCCCAGTGCAAGACTACCCCAGAGCAAGACTACCCCAGAGCAAGACTACCCCAGAGCAAGACTACTCCAGAGCAAGACTACCCCAGGGCAAGACTACCCCAGTGCAAGACTACCCCAGTGCAAGACTACCCCAGAGCAAGACTACCACAGAGCAAGACTACCCCAGAGCAAGACTACTCCAGAGCAAGACTACCCCAGAGCAAGACTACCCCAGAGCAAGACTACCGCAGTGCAAGACTACCCCAGGGCAAGACTACCCCAGGGCAAGACTACCCCAGTGCAAGAGACTACCCCAATGCAAGCTACCCCAGTGCAAGACTACCCCAGAGCAAGACTACCCCAGAGCAAGACTACCCCAGAGCAAGACTACTCCAGAGCAAGACTACCCCAGAGCAAGACTACCCCAGAGCAAGACTACCGCAGTGCAAGACTACCCCAGGGCAAGACTACCCCAGTGCAAGACTACCCCAGTGCAAGACTACCGCAGTGCAAGACTACCCCAGGGCAAGACTACCCCAGTGCAAGACTACCCCAGTGCAAGACTACCCCAGAGCAAGACTACCACAGAGCAAGACTACCCCAGAGCAAGACTACTCCAGAGCAAGACTACCCCAGAGCAAGACTACCCCAGAGCAAGACTACCGCAGTGCAAGACTACCCCAGGGCAAGACTACCCCAGGGCAAGACTACCCCAGTGCAAGACTACCCCAGTGCAAGACTACCCCAGAGCAAGACTACCCCAGAGCAAGACTACCCCAGAGCAAGACTACTCCAGAGCAAGACTACCCCAGAGCAAGACTACCCCAGTGCAAGACTACCCCTGAGCAAGACTACCCCAGTGCAAGACTACCCCAGAGCAAGACTACCCCAGAGCAAGACAACCCCAGAGCAAGACTACCCCAGAGCAAGACTACCCCAGAGCAAGACAACCCCAGAGCAAGACTACCCCAGAGCAAGACTACCCCAGAGCAAGACTACCCCAGTGCAAGACTACCCCAGAGCAAGACTACCCCAGTGCAAGACTACCCCAGAGCAAGACTACCCCAGAGCAAGACAACCCCAGAGCAAGACTACCCCAGTGCAAGACTACCCCAGAGCAAGACTACCCCATGCAAGACTACCCCAGAGCAAGACTACCCCAGAGCAAGACTACCCCAGAGCAAGACTACCCCAGTGCAAGACTACCCCAGTGCAAGACTACCCCAGAGCAAGACTACCCCAGAGCAAGACTACCCCAGAGCAAGACTACCCCAGAGCAAGACTACCCCAGAGCAAGACTACCCCAGAGCAAGACTACCCCAGTGCAAGACTACCCCAGTGTAATGCCTCCCTTAAAACACAGTACCTCTCCTCTCTGGAGCATGTCCCACTTGTTCATGATCTTCAGAGCGTAGACTTGCTGAGAGCTGCGCATCCGGGCCACGGCCACCTGCACGAGGAGAACACTGAACTAGTCTCGCTGCTCTTACAAAACACCAGCAGATGTAGCGTGTGTCACATGTTCCTGTTTCCCCTAAAATCCAAAAATAATGACATTGAAAATTGTTGTATTTGAATATTTACAGCAATACTTGTATGTCTTTTTTTAACACATTTTTCAGACAGGAATAAGCTCAGCCGTAATAATGGGGCAATAGTAGGTTTAAAAGCGAAGAGAATCCTTCAGTGAGCAGCTAATGCTATTGCTAGCTTCATGGTACCTCCCTCTGAACTCTGAAAGTGCTTATAAACTCATCACAGTGACTGCTTAACAAATCCTATAATTCTGCAAAGTATCAAAATGAACTAATAAAGGCGCTACTTGCATGTGAAAGCCAGATCCCATCAAAATTCAGCAGAACAGGGCCTTGTTAGTACTGTGATGGGAGACCTCTGGGAACACCGGGTTCCACGGTGGGGCGGCTGCGGCCAAAATGTTGTTGCGTCCTGGGGCGAGACACTTCACCCAATATTGCCTAGAATGAGTCTGTTGTGTGTGTGTGTGTGTGTGAATGCTGGGTGGTGGTTGCGGGGGGCCGATGCCAAATACTGGTTGCCTTTTTTCTGTCAGTGTGCCCAGGGCAGCTGTAACTACGACTACAGCTTGCCACCATTGCATATGGAGTGAAAGCCTTTTAATAATCAGTCTCACGTCTGTGTCAGTGTGAGCATGGTCTAGGAAAGCACCATACAGATGACTCACTAACGTACCTCACTGAACGTTCCCCGTCCGATCACCTTCAGGATGTGGAAGTCCTCCCTCTTGATCCTGGTTCTCTTCACTTGTTGAACTAGAGGCTCCGCTGTGGGACAGGAAAAAAAGCTTTATTTTTCTTTACAATCTGTGTGCTGTTGTGATAGTGATCAGGCTACTGACTGTTACAGCTTGACAGAATTTGCATACACAAACGTAATATATTCATAGAGATGTTTTTTTATGAAATAACAAAAGTGTCGGCAGAAGCTTTCAAGCGGTGTTGAAAGGAAACATGATTGATCACGTTGCCTATGCGTGCAAAGAGCTCAGATCAGGCAGTCCTTTCTAAAGTTACAATATGACCTAAAGCCCCAACGCTTGATTTCGAAAAGCTAAAAAAATATGAATGTAACATGTTTTCTCTAACATCTTACATAAATAAAAGAGTAGGAAGAACATTAGTCCTACTTGTGAGGAGGGCCACTTCTAGTTTATTTAAAGTCTAGTCTAGGCTTATTTACGTATTTACTTTGTTTATATGAACCCCAGCTGAACGCTTATATCCATCAGATAGATGTCCTGGGATCAATTTAACACATGCAGTACTTAAGATGACTTTTTTTATTCAATTAATATAACTTTTGGCCTTTTTTCATATACTCCATTAATATGGAGGAAATCAAATCCCTTTAAAACAAGTCTCTTTAAACTTTGATGACCAATTTCTATGCTTTTTAGGTATACTGTATATTGCTCTCTATACTCAAGTGTTATTTTTTTGAGACTGTGTAATTATTTTGTTGCTTGTCATGTATTACAGTAAACTGGTCCAATTATAAAACAAGAATCTGCACCATTTGAGTTCTCTAAAGTATGAAGACAAGATGACAGCGTTGACAATGACAACCAAACAGCAGTTGCTGCTTTGAAAGTCTTGCTTTTGGCTGCAATTCTCCATTAAAATCATCAATACATCCGTCAACAGCATACACACTCACACACACACACACACACACACACACACACACACACATACACGCACACACATGCGTATGCACACACACTCACACACACACACACACACACACACGCACACACACACTCACACACATGCGTATGCACACACACTCACACGCACACACACATACAAGGCAAAGCAAGTTTATTTGTGAAACACTATTTACATACAAGGAAACTAAAAGTGCGCAACAAAACAAGATAAACAATCATACAAGGCATTAAATACTGTATATATTAAACACACACACAATAGAAACTCAAATTAGACGCATCTAAAAGCAAAGGGAGGTGGGAACAATTTTCAGATCTACTGTTTGTGGCAATCATCACTGTCACAGTTTTTCTCTGGGAGACCTCCATCAGCTCCTACTGTATAGTTCCAAGTGTGATGCCATTTTTTTAATGCCGTTCCAGTGGTTTAATCAAGTTGGAGGTGGAACATATCCCAGTTAGCCGGAACACACCACACAATACATTGCAGACACAAAGTCGTCACAATACATTTTGCACAAATACATAGTAAATATAAATCTTTATACAGTTTAATCAGGCCCTCACAAATCCAGAATCCGCAGTGGCCCACTTTTGATCTTAAGAAGTGACTCAGTGACCAAAAAAGGAGTTCCTCTTGGACAACAACTGCTGAGACTGTGGGTGCTCCTAAAAATAGCAGCCATCATTCAAGAATCCAAGACATGTTTTCCAGCTGTATATTTTAGATGATTCTTCTTGTGTCGCCAGTGTCCGAACATATTTCTTACACCTGCTTGTGTGAGGATCACTGTTGCTTTCACTATATTATGCTTGGAAAAAGTCCACTCAGCTCACTTTTCCAATACAGTGATGTATTTTTCCGTTGTGACATTTATCATGTGCAAAATGTAAATTTTTAACAAACAAATAACTTAATACTCTAAACTGATATTTAAAAAGGTTCTGCAGGAAAACGTATTTTGTTTTTAGAAGCCTTGCTAATAACAATCTTTTATAAAACTTCAATTAAAGAACAAAAACTGGTGTGTAGCATTGTTCCTCTTTAAAAACACTTAAAAGAGAAAAGTATGAATGCGTTTTCCCCAAATGAGATCTGGGAATTTCTGCATATTGCATTAATGAGCTGTGTGACATTTCCACTTCCACCAGGAGAGGGCGACAGTGGCCTCATTGTTAGTCACTTACTTATTTGTATGTATTTTCTATGAGTACAAAATAACAGCATTATAAAAAAACTGCTGTTTGTGAAATGTATTATTTTCAGTGAGAGATTTGGCACAGAATCTAATGTGTTACAGAATATGGACTAAAACTACTCATAAAGGGTAGAAGTAATCGTTGCATTAGTACAATTAGAATTCTACTTTTGGAGTTGAAAAATTAAATAAGAAATCGTATTTACATTGTCATAGGGTTTTGCAAAAAAGAATTATACATTCTACACGGACCAGAGCCTACTTAGAAAACAAGTACATTAAAGTCCATAGCTAAAAACCCTGCAAAGGAACAAAATACAGTACAAGAAAACTATGTGTGTGTTGACATCATGAAGGGGACAAACTTTTGATTCGATGATCCAACATGTATGGACAATGAATGGTCAACCGCTTCTTATGCACCAATGAATTGAATCGAATTGAATTGAACTGACTAAAACCTTGTGTGCTATGTAAACAAGTCGTAGTCTAGTGGCACAATGACAAGCACACACTGTAACGCACATGTCAGCGCCACAACAACACAATGCAACCACAGAGAACAGTTTAACGGCAACAAACGATGTTCTGAATGACGTGATAAAAAGAATCTTCAATACTTCACCAATGAAAAGGGGCACAACGACAAACACAGTTTTTAAACAGCTATAGTCCTTTGGAATAACTGAGCTTACTGAGAGGAGAGGAGAAATAGTGAAATCATTTAGTTAGAAGATATAAAAAAGAAAGAAAAAACAGCATTTCTGAAGAATAATATAGAGGTCACTTTATTATGAGGACATAGATCCATTGGGGTAGTTTAATGTCTTATTTCTACACAGATGATCCTCAAACATCCCAAAACATGGACCTCTCACATGAGTGTGTTCAAAAATCATGTCCCTTTGTTGTGCTGATGATGATGTTGTGGGACCAAAGGCCTTGTGAGCCTGGCACAGAGAAAACAGTGGTGTGTGCAGAGCTGCTTCCGCTGGATATTGACTCTGGACCAAAGCCCTGTCCTGATAGAATGCCCATGTAAGGAGAGTCCAAAGTGGAAGATCATTTGTTCCAGAAGATTTTGAATTCTAAATGTAAAACTCTGGAAATACATTTGAACCATTGAACTGTCCCTCGATACAAAAACGCAAATGGTACTGTATTAATTATAGGGCATTTGCTGTTAAAATGTTTAATGGAGTTAATTACAGCTTAAAAAATAATTCGTAATTAATCGCATTTCGAGCTATCAGCAAAAAAAAAATCTGTAAATGTTTTTTGGATGGGAAGATAAATGACAGCATAGTGTGCATATGTACTGTATTTGTTTATTATAACAATAAATCCACATAAAATGGCATTAACATTATTTACATCTGTAGAAGACAGTATATTTTCTAAGTTGTATTAAAAGTGAAATAAAAGTTGAGCTCAGTGATTCAGCTGTGTATGAATTCAGGACATACAAAGTGCAGAGTAATTCACTCACTTTTCACTCTTCTTTGAAAAGGCTGTGTCACTTCACGCACCTGAGCGAGGAATGTGCATCAGAAGCGGGGTTGACAGCGGCTGCACCCGGGCTGTAACCGGTGCACATCAGCGCTGGGTCCTGATGCCAGATCAAAGCTGTGGTGTGAGTTATGTCCTCAGGCAGCGCATGTGTGCGTAGTGTGTCTGCGGGAGAGTGTGAGACCTGAGACCGAGTCTGGTCCTGGTTCAGTCTCTACACTTGCAGGCAATGTGCACCAAACAGATTTTAAAAGTTTGTTAGATTGCTCTTCTGTCTGATAATCAATCACACCAGTATATTATTACAACTTGTATCGATTGCAAATGAAATCATCCAAAGAACAAGTCCACACAGATGTATTTCTTGGTGGAAGGAGGGTGGGGGGCTTGAAGGGAGGGTGTGGCATGGAGGGGAACCGTTAGGCGTGTATATATATTAGGGCTGTCAAACGATTCAAAAGGTCTGAAGTGCATAATGTCATTAACTCTTTTTGATTTGCTCACAACTTTTTGGCACAACCAACATGAGCTGGTAGTGCAAGGGAAAAATTAGGTAGACATATACACTTCCTGAGGCTCGTCCAGCTGCAGCGGTGTGCTCGAGTTCATAGCAAACAACAGCAAGTGCCCGCGATCACCTGCATATTCTTTTAAAACTTGAATTCCCAGAGGGCCTACCTGCTCTGTCGCCATTGTTTACAGGCATGTTTCCGCGGCACGTGAGTGTTATTATGGGATGCATGAGCGGGTCATTTGGCACATGCGTCAAATTCGTAACGCGCCAATGTAATATGTATTGCTTTTTGCTGTAACAGTGTAATGTAAGGCATTCCAAACTAACCTGGGTAATATTTTACTATAGGTACAAAGTAAGTAAGTAATGTTTATTTATATACCGCCTTTCACAGACCAGAGTCACAAAGCTCACAAACATTTGTTAATTTTTTTTTTGGGCATTTGTCCTCCACACAAAGATGGGAGCGGGGTCACCGAACAGGAGGTGCATGCCAGACCTATTGTGCATGTTTTTAGTGGGAGGGGAAACTGGAGTACCCGGAGGAAACCAACGCAGACACGGGGAGAAGTAATGTAGTAGTAGTGTAATACTTTACAATTCAGAGACCGTTCAGAATTCATAGTAACAAGTAATGCATCATTTTTTACACTTTTTAAGTAATTTTCCCAACATTGCTAGTACTACACTGCAAAAAGTGCTGAAAAATTGTAAATAATGGCTCGAATTTGGCAAAATGTATCTTACTTTGAGCACATGCGGACTGCCTTAAAACAAGATTTGCCAACGGGACAAGCAAAATAATCTTGTTTTAAAAAGATGCAAGAAATGTCTCCCTTTTCATTAGTTCTTGAAATCTGGATAGCTTTGTCC